TCCACGACGTTTCTAGCTCTTTATCTCTCTCCCTTCCTCTCTGTAAAAAATCAATACATTAAAAAAAAAAAAAAAAAAAAGCTAAGACCACGTGGACCCCAGGGTTTCCTGGGACAAGCACTGGAGAGGAAACAAGCCTCTGCTACCTGCCACCTGGCAGGTCTGTGTCTCCCAGGCGGAGGCTCTGCCCCACCTCCCCTGTGCAGGCCCCATGCACATCCTCCACGCACCTCCCCAGCGCCCCCACAGGCACTTCTCCACGCCCACGTGAGGCTGCTTATATCCCACAAATGACAGCACAGGTATAGGAGGTGGTTAAAAACTGTATTCAATTATTCACACCCAAGGGTACCGGTTAAAATTATGAACCGCTCTGAATAGTTCGTGTATCATACATATATATACTTCATATGTATAGTTACATATCGACACAGGACTGCTGGCTGCCTCGAAGCGTGTGCTGTGGAGCGGAGGTGGGTTCTGCGGTGGCACCACACGGACGCGCATGCCGGCGGCTGGGACGCCGAGTGGACGTACAACTCGCCTCGGGTTATACACGGCTGCTGTTCACCGTACACAGGTGACAGGAGCGGGTTCTCTCACATACAAAGAGGGCAAGTGAACACGAAGAAGGTACACGCGTGCACAGCACGTGTCACTCAGACGCAGAGGCCGGGCCTCACCAGTCGCTGCCCTGGAGCGTTTCACACAGACTTCCGTGACGTGTACAAATAAAGACGGGGACTTACTCAGTACACGCAGCTGGCCATCGTGCACCTGACAGGCCTTCTCCTCACTCTACAGACGCCCGTGGCCTCGGGCACAGATCCACGGGCGGGAGGAGGGCGTGGGGCACGTGGGCTTGGCGCCGTGGCGCCGTGCTGCGCTCCGGGGTGCGGTCAGCAGGCGGGGGCCTAGGACTTAAAGAAAGCCGCCTTTTCTCCTCAGAAAGACCCACAACGCGCACTTCAGACCGCGGCGACTGTTCTCGGTGGCAGGCAGCGCGTTCCTGGCAATGGGGTCGGGGCCTGGTGCACAACGCCTCCAGAAACGTGCGCACAGAACGAGACTTCAAAGCAATCGGCGACACATGGACCCGGGCAGGTTCATGCACCGCGAACCTGGAACCACCCGGCAGCACGGGGGAGGCCGGCAGCGCCCCGGCCAAGACACAGTGTACAGAGACTGGAAAGTCAGACCAGTTCTCACAACAGAAGGAATACACTCATGTGAGTAAACTAATGTCTTTAAAGAATTAAACGCTAACTCAGCCAAGTGTAGAAAGCATGTTGGAAATATGTAAAGACGGAAGAGTTTTTCAAAACCCACACCATGCATGTGTGCCTGGAACCCACCAAAATCACATGGCACACCAGTCGGCCACAGCTGGGGGCGCAAACAGGGGTGCACAGCTCGCCAGCGGCAGCCGGCAGGGTGTATGTGAATAAAATGGAACAAAAGGCAGAAATGCGTGAGGAGGGGACGGGTCTGGTCACTCAGCGCAGTGAGGTTAGCCATGGATGCGTCCCTTTCCCTGTCTCCAACTGCAGTTAAGGAAAGCAAAATAAATACACGCAGGTGAAAGAATCATTACAGTATTGAAAAAATGGTAGGGACCAAGCCATGGTGAATAATTTAGTCCTATTGAAAGCTCAAACGTTAATTTTGAGTTCAGAGACTAAAATACTCAAAATTAAACATATTAAAAGTATCCAGGGAGCTGTAAGGACTGATGTCGCCACAGGTCTTGTGTACGAGAACATGCCCAGAAAGCAAAATTCACTGCGGTCGGCGGCACACAATCAGAAAGCAAACCAGAAGCACGCAGGAGGGAACCTTCAGGGGCAGCCCCGGGGACCGCGGTCACCGCACAGGCGCTCTGTGGCGGGGAGGGTCAGGGTCGGCAGGGAGAGAACAAGGTTCCTCACCGGCTTCTTAGAGATAGCCGGCCTGGGAAAGGCCGCTTCTGAGAATTCCTTTCCAACGCCAATGCGTTTCTTTGAACTTCCCGAATTCACAAGCCACCGCCCACTACTGAGCACTGAAGGGCTGGCGTTTCTAGAACGGACTCAGCCCGGGTCCCTATTCCAGGTCACGGGCACATCCTACAACATTCCCGCTCCGCATACATCCCGGCGTGGAGGGGCGGGCAATGTCATGGGAGCAGCCAGGACCACACCTCAGACCACTCTCCCTCTCCTCACGGCATCACCAGATTCCCACCACAGGGACACTGGCCCCAAATCCAATGCCACCTTAGTGAGAAACTCGTCAGAACTTCCAGTGGCAAAAACCATCTTCCCTTTCAAAACAGGACTTGGAGAAAGGGTGAGAACAGAACTCCCAAGGTTGTCTGCTAAATACAGGGTGACCCCCCCCCCCAAAAAAAAAGTACCCGCGCTTTAACAGCTGGTGGCTGGATTTTGAAGATGAAATGGATTTTAATAAACATCGCCTTCATAATCACTCCATGTGTGCAGACGTTGTTCCAGGGCACCCTATAGATCTGCCAACGTAGAAAAAATACGCCAACTCTGTTTCTTTCCAACACGGATTAACTGCATGTGACCGCATGCCGGAACCTCGCACTCTGGGCAGATCTCTGACCTTCAGCAGGTCTCACTCGTTCCCTTCAGAACACAGCCCTGGCTCACACCTCGTTTCTACCCTGACAACAGTCCACAGCAGTCCCACCCATAAACCCACCCAGTTCCTGTGGGGAACTGGAGATCACACATACCCCTGCTGTGTGCGGATCCGAGGACACTATCGCCCGTATCAGCCTACCAGCACAGCAGCCGGCCACGCACGCCACCCGGACCGGGAAAGCAGCTGGAGAGCGAGCAGCGGAGCCCGGGCCGCCCTCCCACCATGAATCAGGCAGCAACCTGCAGTGAGTCCCCCCCACCCCGCCGCCGCCCTGCAACTGGGTCTCCAAGTTCATCGATGACAATGGCACTTCGGTGGCTGCAGGTGGATCGGTGGGGCGGCCAGAACCCCGAGCCGTGGCTCTACTCACTTCCCTGAGCACACGCACAGGCCCGGCCGCTCCAGCCAGCTCTTAGCAAACGACGCCGTTTTTACGAGGAAATCCAGTCCTTGAAGAATGTGGCTGTTTTTTATTTTCCGTGTGGTTGCTTCTCTCTCGCTCTCACACGAGTCTACATACAAGTGTGTATCTACATATGTACAGGAGTGTAAAGCTACACACACCGGTGTATCTAGCCAGAGTGGCCTCTCTCTCCAGCTGCTCCGCCCTCCCTCATATTGTAAAATTACAACAGCAGGCGGGGCTCCGAGGAGGGGAGGTGCCCACATCCAGAACTCCCCCGCCCGTGAGGAAATTGAACACATAGTGTTAATTTTAAAAAACAAAGTTTATGCACAGCTCTCTGCCCCACGTAAATAAACCATGCTGTAGAAACAACTGGCTTATCTTCACAAGAACCAAGCTCCTATGGACACAGCATGGCATATGTAGATGGACATTTTAAAAATATCCGTTAGGAATGGCCTCATTCTGGCTTCCTGGCCCGGGACCAGGGGACTCGCTATTGGGCATGGACCAGCCTGTCACACTGTGGCCTCCAGCTAATTCCACCGGTTCCGACCCCACAGTGACCGTGCGCTGAAAGCCACGGCAGCATCACGTCCCCCGGAGGTGCCCTGCTCGGCTCGGCATCCTGTGGGGGGCCAGGCTGTTACTTTTGTGGATTTCTCACAAACATTTACACTATGGCATGATGGGAGTCCGCCAGAGGTTATGCAGAGGAGCTCACACACAGGACTCTGTGGATGTTGGGCGTTGAGCAGAGAAGACAGGAGTCAGCTCCAGCCTGGCTGGGTGCCTCAGTGGTTGAGTGTTAACCTATGAACCAGGAGGTCACGGTTCCATCCTATTTAGGGCAAGTACCCAGGTTACAGGTTCGATTCCCAATAGGCGGCATGCAAAAGGCAGCCGATCAGTGAATCTCTCTCCTCGTTGATGTTTCTCTCTCTCTCTCTCTTTCCTCTCTGAAATCAATAAAAATATATTTTTAAAAAGAAATCCATTCCAGCCCTCGCTCTGGCTCCTTCCCGTCCTGACATGCAGCTCGGGCAGGACAAGGGCAGCAGGAGGCTGGGACCTGAGCGCTGAAGTGGCAGGCGGAAGGAAACGGAGAGAAGTTCTAGATTTAACTTGATTTGGGAGAAATCAATGGTAATGAAGGAAGCAGCCTTTCAATATGAATGTGGACCTAAACTTCTGCCACGACACAAAATGAAACTATAAATTATCATTCAAAACTCAACATTTTACACCGCAGAAGCCTGTCTGCTAAAAAGATGCACATGCCTTGCTTTATTTTGTTCTCTGCAAAATGACGTACTGTGCCAAGGCCCCAAATGCCCTTTGCACGCCTGCAGGGTTCCGAGCCTGCCCTCACCCAGGGACCTCCTCCCCGGGAGGGAAGGCTGCTTCCGCTGCAGCTGCCTCTGCCACCGGAGGGAGCCCTGGGCACAAGCAGAGCGCGCTCCAGAGCCCACACTCCTCCCGCCGTGGCAACATGCGTCCGCGGGAAGCTGGGTGGCCTGGTCCTGCGGCTGCCTGCTGCGCACGCCCATCACAGGCGCCACGCGCCAACACCCACAATCGAATGCGTAAAACTCCTATTTACAGCCAACATCGGAGGGACGGTGAGAGCCAGAGTGCCCTGCCGTGATAGCGCCGTTTCCAACCCTCGCTAGACCAGTGGCAAAGCACCCTTTGTGGGAGCGTGGCGTCCCCAGTAAGGCGTCCGCAGTGCCAGCCGGTAGGCCAGCCGGCTCGCTGGCCTGTCCCCGCCGTCCGTGGCGAGGGTGGGACTGGCAGGTGTCAGCTGGGAGGCGGAGTCACTTGATGGTACCTTCTGCACGAGGATGGCATCCCAGTTCCAGGTGTAGGTTTCCCCCACGAAAATAAAAGGTAGAAAAGTCCCAGAGGCAAGAGGAGCGTCTGTGGTGGGACAGCTCCTGGGCCGTCAGTCCTCCGTCTTCACAGACAGCTTCTTCTCCATGGTGCCCGGGGCCGCCGGCGAGGACGAGATACAGGATGAGGTCTCCTCCCCGCGGATCACCTTCTCCCACTGGATGAGGTTGTTCCTAGGGCAGACGACCAGCGACACTGTTTGCTGGGGTCCTGGCCTGCGCCTCAGCGCGGACCCCACCCTCCTGCAGCACGGCTCCGCGCCAGGGCTTTGGGTGCTGTTCCAACTGATGTAACTCGCTTGCTAGGCCAAGCAGACTCCCATTGGCCTCCCTGACCGGACACCACAGCTCAGTGTCCCCAGAAGAGCCAGAAGCCACCTAAGCCTGGGGAGGGGCCCGGGTCCCAGATGGCAAGGGCAGGCCAGCGAGGCTCAGGACAGAGCCTGTCACCCAGTTAGCAGGGGTGGCAGAGGGGGGATGTGCCGTTGGGTGACTTGCTGAGGAACGTGTGGCACCTTTACACAGCCGTGAAAAAGAAGGCTCTCCTGCCTGAGCAGCCGGAGGGACCTGGAGTGCACTCTGCTGAGTGCATCAGCCAGGCAGAGAAGGACAAGTGTCACACCATCTCCCTTAGGTGTGGAGTCTGATGGACAGAATGAGCTGGGAACAAACAGAACCAGAGGCTGGCTCCCAGGAAGGACACGGCAGCGCAGGGCTGGGTCCTGGATGGAAGGAGGGGCTGACCATCTCTGCACGGCTTGCAGACACACCTGCTGGTGTGGGTCAGAGGAGGGGCGGGGCGGGGGGGGGGGGCTCAGCAAAGGGGCCATCTGTGACCCTGTCACAGGAAGAGTCTGAGTCTCTCCCCGGGCTGTACGCACCTGCAGGCTCTGAGGAGCGGCTCCGTGGGCGGGAAGATCCGGGTGAGGGTGGTGTAGCAGGGGATGGCCACCGCGTTGTAGAAGCCAAGCTGCCCGTGGAGCCACCGGCAAGAAACACACGCATGTTAGCCACCCGGCAGCACGTGTCCTCCGGGAGCCTGTCCCTGAGCCTGCCTGCCACAGGGAAGGTCTCACTGAGCTACCGGAGACTGTGCGTCACTCTCGAGGGGAAGCACGAGGAAGCCTAACGCACCTCCGTTACTGTAGCCCAGCACCGCCTTCCGTGGGACCTGCTTCGGATGAAGCAACTGTGATCCAGGCTCTGTGCTTACCTCTGGTCAGCTCTGGAGTCCCCCAAGGCGTGGCCAGGTCCGGCACCTGCCTCTAAGCCCCACCCCCCACGCCTGCAGCTCTGGTGCCTAGTTCTCTCCTGATGTTCCACTCAGCCCCCACCCCTTTCCTGACCCACCACAAATCCCAGGGACTGGATCCAGCTCCCTAACTCGTCAAACCCCACCGTTTCCCATGGCTTCCCAATGCCTTTCAAGAAAATGGCCCTGGCCTTCTATGGGACGTGCCAACGGAGAGAGGCTCGGAGCGACTGGTCCTTGCGGGTGCTCCTGCCGCAAAGTCTGCCCTCACCGCCCCTGACTAGCTCGTGCCCACGCATTTCCACCCTCCACTGCGGCGAGGCGGAGACTTCCTCTTTAGCATGGAGCAGACCTCACGGAGCACAAGCTGGGGGAACGCGAGGGGCTGGAGGCGGCATGCCATCCTGCAGCAGAGAAGCACTGCGCAGCTGGTCCGGTGTCAGTGACCACAGAAGTGCTTTATCTAAAACACTCTCACCCCGTAACGAGCCTGTGGCGTTTGGAAACATCCAGCTCCTCTTACTTCAGTAACATGAGCGCTCAGCCCGGTCTTGGCGACACGGCCAGCCGCCCTGTGTGAGCTGCTGGGATGACCGCTCAGCTCTCCACAAAGAAAAGCATCGTCAGGTCCCCCTCAAACCAACTCCCCACACATGTACAGAGTGAGACGATGTGTGGAAAGACCCCGTGGCACGAGTGGCACAATCTCGGGGCGCAGCCTTTCCCACAGGAGGCTCACACATCAGGCTGCAGAGACTGGCCACTGGGAAAGAGCCGCTCAACCCAATGCCCGGGCCGCACGTGTGCCAGGCGAGCGGGCGCATCCGCACAGAGGCGAGGGGCAGCCCTCAAGGAGCCGGTAAGCAGCGGGCTGTTGCTCATAGAGCCGTGGAGATGCAGTAGCCTGCAACTCTCGCTGGGCTGGCGCCCTCCATGCACAGACCGTTGGATGAGCAGTCAACCAATCAACTTCAAACAAAGTAGGAAAACTGGAGAACTTAGTCAAAACCATCATCCTGCCGAAACCAGTTTGGCTCAGTGGATAGAGCGTTGGCCTGCGCAATGAAAGGTCACAGGTTCGATTCCAGTCAAGAGCATGTACCTTGTTGCAGGCACTTCCCCAGAAGGGGGTGTGCAAGAGGCAGCTTGTTGATAATTCTCTCTCATCAATGTTTCTAACTCTCTATCCCTCCCTCTCTCTTCTTCTCTGTAAAAAAAATCAATAAAATGTATTAAAAAAAAAAAAACTAAAAAAAAAAAAACCATCATCCTGTAGCCCGGCCAGCGTGGCTCAGTGGTTGAGTGTCCTATGAACCAGGAAGTCATGGTTCGATTCCCAGTAAAGGCATATTCCCAGGTTGTGGTCTGGATCCCAGAGTGAGGTGTGCAGGAGGCAGCCAATCAATGATTCTCTCTCATCATTGATGTTTCTCTCTCTCCCTTCCTTTCTGAAGTCAATAAAAATATATACTTTAAAAACACCATCATTCTGTAAATTTTCTGAAATTATTTCTACCCTGAATTCATGATAACTACTTGTCCATAAGTAACTTCCTAATTGTGGCATTAGAGGATGGGGAGTTTAAAAAGCGATAATCTTGCAAAAGTCATTACACCACCCGTGTGCACATGGAAAGTTAACAAGGCACAAGAACTCTCAAGACATAAAGTATTTTATGTGTGTTCCTGGACAGGGAATGATTGTCAATCTATAGCAAGATAAAACTCAAATGTACTAAGAGTCTATGTATTATTTGTTAGCAAAAATGGGCCTAATCAAAATCTATAATGCTAACCTCTAAAAAAGTATCTGTTTATTCAAAGACAAATATTTTCTGCGTGTTAAAAAATATGAACCACTCACACTCCTCCAGCCCCTGTATCTCAGGTCAGGAAAGAAGTCTGTTCACGCACAGCCTCTGCAGGAGGGGCTGCTGATGAGGGGGGCGTGGACTCGGTTTCCCAGCTGTGGCCTTACGCTCCCCAAGGAACTCATGTGGCTCACGGTTCTGCCCTCTGAACAAGACCGCCCCACCCTCACCCCGTCCGTGCAGCCTGGGAACTGTACAGAGAACGGAAGGCGCCGGCCTGGCAACGCACACTTGGCAGGGTCCATTGCTAGGGAGCGCCTGAGCTCTGGGCCGGCAGGCTCGGCTCGGGGCGGGGAGTCAGGCAGAGATGACGCTTGTGCCGCTCTGGGACAAAGCGCTAAAGCTCCTCCAGGAGCTGCCAGACCGGCAGGCGCCGCCGCGCACACGGAACACAGACGGCGACCGCCTCACTCCCCCGGAGCCACAGGTCATACCTGGCCTTGTGGGACCTCATCCCTCTTGTCCCGGTCCATCATGGGGATGGGCTGTATCCCCAGCTTCTTCATCTCGTCGCCCTGAAAGGAGCGGGGACAGTCATGCTTTCTCTCAGTCCGGCTCTTCCCTCCAGTCACTCCCTCTCCTCACAGTGGACCTGCAGGGTGCCTGACAGGACAAAGCCCTCAGTGAGCCTCAGGTCGCTGTGGGTCTCTCCTGAGGTACCTCTGCACTCGCTGCCCAGGACCCCGCCGCCTGCTCCCTCTGTAGGAGGCAGGCGTTGTTAAGAGGAGCCCGAAGCACGAGTGAAGAGAAGCGCGGAGCAACTCCAAGCCCTTCCGTGGCGTTTCCCGTGGTGTCCCGTGGGAAGCTGAGCGGGGACGCGGGCCGGGAGTGGAGCACGGGCCGGACCGTGCTGGTGCGGGTGCCGCAGCCAGAGGCTCACTCCAGGCGGCCGGGCGGGATCTCTGTTCCTGTGGAGCCACGGGAACAAGAGACGGCATCTTCTCACTCGGACAACTCACATCTCTGACCATCCAGGCCTCAGGCAGGACAGGTGTTCACAAACCAAGTGCCTCCCATGCTGGCTCCCAGGCCGCGAGTGTCGTGCACACACTGTGGACAGGTGCACGGACAGCCCCCAGGCCTGTGGGTCAGCAAGACTCCCTCACGTTTCAGCCTGCCCTGCCCACGACTGCGGTCCCCCGGTGCCTGGACAGGCCTGTCCCCACAGATGAGCATGCTTACTCCTGAGCGAGGGCCCGCTGCTCTGGGAGGAAGACTGGCACTGTTCGGGAGCAGGCCTCTCCCGGTGGATCAGAGCTGACCACCCCTGCGCGCACCTTCTGTGCCAACGCTAAGCCCGTCGGTGTGACCGACTGCAGCCTTCTGGAATAACCTGTGACGCAAGCAGCTAACTCAGAGCTCCTCTGTCACCCGTATCCTTACTTTCTCTTCACTTTCCCAGTTCCTCGACATTATGGAGTCACATGAAAACCAATGACCCACCTCAGCCCAGAACTCTGCATAAATGTCATTAGCCGTCAACTTGGTAACCGGCCACAGCTTCGTCACAGAACAAAGGTCACAGGCAGTCATCATCAAGCCAATGACACGGTCTCTGGAACAGAGGACACAGAGTGGTCAGCAGCACTCACGTCGGACAAGGCCTACCTGTACGGCCTCGTTTTACAGTAACTTCTTCTTTAAAGTCCTGTCTCCCATGGTAACGTTCTGGGAATCAGGACCTCAGCCCACATCACTTTCTAGAACAAACGTGAGTCCCGCGATTGTTCGCCTCTGTCACACCAACACCAGCACACCATCTGATGGCTGTTCCTTAACGGAAAGCTCACGTCCGGTCAAGGTGTGCAAACTTGGCTTTTGCTTTGTCAGAGCTGCCTTGACGGCTACAGACCCTCTGGACAGCACATCTGGGAGGCACTGCCGCTCTGTTCACAGACAGGGACTTAATAACTGACAAATGTGTTAGGGAACCTTTAGGGAAATATATATTTGGCTACAATGGGTGAAGAAATTGGAAATTTTACGAGATACAGAAGCTATAAAAATGAGCCGAAAAAGAATCTCAATCCTATATATTAAAGTGTAGTATGCAAATAGTCCTCTAGACCAGGATTTCGACCAGGGGGCGGGTCTGGCTGGGGGAAGGGAGGGAGGCCCTAGCTGGCAGCAGTGGTGGCAGCAGGGGAAGGGAGAAAAGCCCCAGCTGGCAGCGGCAGCCACCAGGGGCCCTACCAGTGCACAAATTTCATGCACAAAGCCTAATAAAGAGGGAATATGCTAATTGACCATCATACCCTCACAAATATGGCAGTGCCCACAGCCAATAAGGAGGGAATATGCTAATTGCCTGTCACACCCTCAAAGATGGCGGCACCCACAGCCACAAGATGGCCACACCCAGTCCCCTCAGCCCTGCCGGGGTAGCAGGTGCATGGCATGGCCAGGCCCGCCCCTATGCAAGTCTGGCTGCTCCTTGCACCTGCCTCTGGAATCCCCTAATCCCTCAACTCCCCAGCCGCCCAGGGCTGCCCGAGCCTCAGGTAACCAGGGCTAGCCATGGCTAGCACTGCCAGCAGTGGCAGCAGCAGAGGTGATGGGGGTGTTGCCTTCCCCTGATCACCGGATCGCCTCCCACCCTTGAGGGCTCCCAGACTGTGAGAGGAGGCAGGCCAGGCTGAGGGACGCCCCCCCACACACTCCATTGCATGACTTTTCATGACCCAGCCTCTAGTATAAAATAAGACATTGACTGGAATGAATGGCGGGTAGGCGAGGACATTTGAAAGGACCAGTGACACTCCAAGGGACCCCCCAGAGCCCATGCCCTCCCGGGCTCCCGCACGCTGCCAGGCCGGGCACCTGTGGGACTGGTTGTTGAGGTTCAGCGAGCCCGTCTGGTGCATCTCCTCCAGCTGCTTCCGGTTGCCAAAGTAGAGGGCGAGGTCCGTGGCGATGATGGCTTTGCGGATGATCTCGAGCACCTGCTCGTACTCGCTGGAGCTCAGGGTGGAGAAGATGTTGTGCCCTTCTAGCTGCGGAGACAGCGCAGTGACAGGCACCTGCTCGCCCGGGCATTCCGCTCCCCCACTGAGCAGGGTTCCCTTACAGAGCTTATTCCTGTGCTATCTGTTAGTCATGTGGATCCCCACAGGACAACTGTAACCCTGCTTCAGCCACACCCTGTATCGTCAGCGGCACTGAAATGACGGCTGGAATGGAGGTTTTGGTTCCTCTTTAAGCTGTCACTTGAGTGAACTGTGAAACCACAGTGGCATCATTTGCTATCACCAAACTCCAATGATTTAATGATACACCTAGTGTTTGGATATTTCTCATAAGTTATTAAAGGACCAGAAAGTGTAAAATATCTAAGTATTTCTTCTTAAATTGAAACAGTAATTTTTATTTATATTATTTACTTATTTTATATTAAGTCCTCATCTGTACTGAAAATCATTGGGCTCAAAAGTCATCAATATCCTTGTCCACTCCAGCCTAATGAGTACCAGCCTCCTTGGCTTTACCCAAGAACAACACGTCCCACAAGCTCACACTACATTCAGCACGTCCACAGCTCCCACAGGACTTCACACAAACACGTGGCCAGCTGCACAGCCGCAGGGCCCTCTCTGCGGTCCTCAGGCAGCCTCTCCACACGCTGCTACTGCCCCCCCAGTCTTCTTCCTCATGGGAATCTCCTACAACTTCCCACAATAATCCCGCCCTCTAAGAATTTTAAGTCTGTATTTGTAATGAAGATAAAAAGGGACAGAGAGGTTGAGATAATTAAGATGCATTAAATGTGTGGGCTCATCACTTAAGTTTTAATGATTTCGTTATCAGTCATCAGAGTCTGACCATTAATTGATCTGCACGTGTTTTCACTTATAGCTACAACCATTGCAACTATGTTAGTGTGTCATTCGTGCTCATGTTTTCATCCCATTCTAAGAGTCCCTGGTCTAAGACAAATGAGGACCCTCTCAGAGGTCTGCATACTCTTCCAGGTACTTTGGAGTCACTTTTTCTTTTACTACTTTTCAATGCTGAAGAGGGAGAGTTCAGGACAGGACCTTCAGAATGCAAAGTGGTAACCGGGACCCTTTTGCTGCCTCCTTTAATTTTATGAGATTAAAGGAAGTGAACAAACAAACGAAAATGCCCCCTTCCCCTCAAGAGACTCTAGAATAAATATATTGTCAATATTTTGCTACAAAAACACAGGAAAATAAAGGGGATATATGCAACCAAACACACCAGATAAACAGCTTTAAGCGGCCTTCACTAGATGACTGGCTAAAGATGTGGCACATACACACAACGGAATGCTGCGTTTGTGATGAATCCCCATCATGCTCAGTGAAATAAGTCAGACAGAAACACTGAGGAGCCATATGATTGCACTCTTGTCTGGGAGATAAAACTGAAAGGCATAAGTGAATAGACAAGACAAATACGCTAACAAAACGCATAGGCACAGACAATGGCATCTGGCACCAAAACACCAGGGGCGTGCGTGTGCGTGTGCGTGTGCGTGTGTGTGACACGTGAAAGAGGGGTTCCCAGAGGGAAGGGGTAGTACTGCAGTAAAGGGTAAAGGGGGTCAAATATCTGGGGATGGAAGTAACATGACACTGGGTGGTGGGCACATAGGGTAATAGACAGATGATGTGGCATAGAATGTTCACTTGAAACCTATAATTCTATTAACCAATGTCACCCAAAGAATTTAATTTAAAAGGTAATTTAAAAAGAAGAGTATCTATAAAATTCTAATTTTCGTATCCATAAATAAAGTATTATTGGATACAAAAATATGTTTAAAGTTCCAATTTCACATTAGCTAATAACTTAAAACCTCATGAAGTAATACAACGGGTATCCCAATTGGTAAAGAACTGTAAACCCAAGAATGTTTCTCAAGCCCCCAAATGGGTGAGCAGCCCATGCATTCTCATCTCCATGGACACAGGTGAGTGGGTTCTGCAGGTACTCCAGATCCTAAGATCAGACACATCAGAGAGTCCACTGGTGCTACACCTGTCCGGTGCTACACTGCCTGGTACACCACCTGCCCGGTACTACCCTGCCCAGTGCTACCCTGCCCGGTACTACACTGCCCGGTGCTACACCTGCCCGGTGCTACACCTGCCGGGTACTACACTGCCCGGTGCTACACTGCCCGGTGCTACACCTGCCCGGTGCTACACCTGCCGGGTACTACACTGCCCGGTGCTACACTGCCCGGTGCTACACCTGCCCGGTGCTACACCTGCCAGGTGCTACCCTGCCCGGTGCTACCCTGCCCGGTGTTACCCTGCCCAGTGTTACCCTGCCCAGTGCTACACTGCCCAGTACACCACCTGCCCGGTGCTACCCTGCCCGGTGCTACACCTGCCCAGTACTGAGACCTGCCCCTGCCCGAAGCTGAGACCTCCCAGTGCTGAGAGGCCTCCAGTCCTAGCCATGGGGGTGCTAGGACGCAGCGCCCCGCCCGCTGAAGCACACTTTCCTGCCTCAGCCACATCTTCCATCACAAATGCGGGTCACCAGTGCTCGTTCCGCAGATGCTCAGTCCGCGGGGCTTCCCCCCGATTGTGGAAGCAAGCAGCTCAGGACCTGCTGTGTCCAAGACCCAGCGTGACGAAATGTCTGACTACAGAGGGCAGGCGCCGTGGACTGAAACAGCAAGTGCACTTCAGTGCGCTCCGAGTGTCACAAAGGGTTCCTGGCCCGCACCGGCCACTAGCGCTGTGTGCCGGGCTCCAGGACGAAGCCCCTGCCCAGCCCTGCCCGAGCGCCCCAGAGCGGCCGGCTCACCTGCAGGATGGACACGGTCTGGGAGAAGTGGTGCTGCTCCATGGTGGACGTGGAGTACAGCGCGGCCAGCGGGTGGTCGAACTTCTGCAGGTAGCTGTTGCTGAAGCCCCTGTGGTCCAGGTCGTGGCACAGACACGCGATGAGCAGTCCTTTGCGCTGTGAACACCACCGGGGCACAGGCGTTGAAAACGGAGCATGGGCCGTCACTCCTGCCACACTGCCTCTGCCGCCCGCCACCAGCAGCCCCTCAGCGAGCTCTGACCCCAAGTCTAACTGCTTCTTCCTCTGGGCTTTCCTGCTCATGAACTTGAGTCAAAGGATCCCTCCTTCGCTCTGAGAAGAGTGTAGGGGGGACCCAAGAAAGCCAAGGCCCCCAAGAGAGAAACCAATGTGCCGGGAGAGGGCAGCCTTGTCCTCATGAGCAACCTGGTCTTGTGAGACAATAACACGTCAGTCACCGTAAACCAGAGAGCAGAGCAGGCTGCAGCCCAGGGAGGGCACAGGTGAGCAGGGGCCTGAAGACAAGGAGGGCAGGCGGCCCTGGGAGGCGGGTGGGCACGCAGTGGGTAGACACCTGCTGCAGGAGGGCCCTCCCTGAAGCCAGCGGGTCAGGGAGGCTGTGGCTCAGGGACAGCGGGAGAGGAGGACGGCAAGATGGAGGCGGGGAGACTGAGGACCTCATAGGCCTAGTACCCTGCGTGAGCCAGGGAATGCGACAAGGCAACTTGGTCATCAGAGATGAGGGCTCCCTTCCTTCCATGGCTAGAGGTCTGAGAAGGACACTGGTGATGGAAGAGGAGAGGGGACCACAGGAGGGCTGCACAGGGGCCAGGTGGAGAGGAGGCGTGCGGCATTAGGCAGCTCCAGATCTGGAATGCTTGCAAGAGGGGCTAAGCTCCAACCCCCCAACGCACAGTGGGCCCAGCACACAGTGGGGCGAGAATGGATGAGCTGTCCCAGAACCTCCCGTCTTCAAACCTCCTGGGACCCACACCAGGTATGGGAAGGTTGGGGGGGGGGGGCAGTGACACACCCCAGGGCCCGCTTCCCTGCAAGAGGGGATCGTGTGGCACTGAGGTCGGGATCGGTGGCCCCTTAGTGGTGCGTCCATGTACCCAGAGCACAAGGCCACGGGCAGCCACAGCTCCTCCCTCAGAAGACGGACAGGAGCAAAGGCCACAGACACCCCTCTTCCCTGGGCACCGATCAGTGAGGCGGGAGTCTGCGCATCTGCACTTCTCACTCAAAACCCTACGGCACCAGCCTGGTGTGGCCGTCTACACAGCGTGCTCCTGTGAGTCACAGAGCCAGGGTCTGTCCCGGAGCCTGTCACACATCCACGCCACCCGTGTGCCCGACGCCGAGGGGGGCAGGAACGCGGGTCCCAGGGAGGGGCCCACAGCGCGCACCTCCAGGTCGGAGAAGAGCCCCAGGTTGTTCTGCAGGATGGCGTACATGCAGTGCGCCACTGTCACCGCGTGCTTCCAGTTGTGGTAGGGCACCCGCCGGTAGTTCTTCTTCACAGACATGATGAAGCGGCACAGCTTCTCGAAGTCAAAGCTGTGGGGAGAGAGGCGGGAGCTGGCAGTCAATACTCCCAGGAGAGGCTTCTGGTCTGTACCTCACGCTGTCTATACTAAATGTCCGTGATCGTGAGAGTCTGGAGTCGCGTCCAGGCACCCAGGGCCCTCACTCAAGCTTCCCCGATGCTCTGGCCAGTGCGGAGCGAGGGCTCTCCAAGAGCTTCTCTGAGGTGCTAGCCGCGCACCAGGAAGCAGGGCTGACCGCCTGCGGCTCCCCATCACTCCGCCCATCGCCTCCTCACCTGGCAGGCATCCGGACCCAGAGCTCAGCAGACAGCCTGTGACCATCTGCTGACGAGCATTCTGAGCTAATCATGCCTCATTTCACAAACTAGAAATACGTTTACCATGGGAATTTTCTAGATGAGTAGTACCTTTTTAAAACGAATCCAAATTAAATGGCCAACTATGAGTCGCCCTGACTATCCTGACACAGTACATGGTAGAAATGGCATTTTGTTATATAATGTGGCTATCATGTTATTTTATAATATAACATGTATTCACACCTATTTAAGGGCTCACCACTTTTCCCAGGGGGTTTTAAGGCTGCTGAAATCAACAGCACAAGACAAAACAGGGCTTTTTGAAATAACAAAGAAATGAGGGTTCAAAAAGCTTATAAAAACATGTGACCTATATTTTCTCCACTCCAAGTTTTCAAATGTTCTTGAAGTGAAAGGATGCCATTTTAAGAGTTCCAATGGTCACCCTCCAGTGAGACATGTGAGAACTGACTGAGTGGTCACCTGTGTGTGTCCTCTGTAAAGAGTAACTTAGTCACCGCCGGGCGGAGGGAAACACACGGCGTCAGCAGTTCTGGAGACGCTCAGGACCCCGGCCACTCCGGGAGGGGGTGCGCGGCGAGGGGCCTGCAGTGCGCACAGCAGCCCCAGGGAGTGCCCGGCACAGGTCTAGGCCGTGAAGGGGAAACCTGCTTCTTTCCACCCGCCCTGACCGGTGCACAACGGAAGTTGAAGGCTGATACAAATGTACGCGTACACTCCAAGCACACTTCCAAGGGCGTGCAAGTATGTGCTGGGGACTCCTACCTCTTTCAGTTGGACAGCCTATGTGCCTCCCCCACATTTTGGCCACTTGGTTCTATCCATGCTGTGAGCCGAGGGACAGAGAGCTCACAACCGCTACGGGGAGAATGAGAGGGCTGTGGCTCTGTCCAAGTCTACTAGCCTTTTAACATTAAGTTCTAGAAAAGGTGTTAATCACCACCACCACCACCATCTCCCCCCACCACGAAAGTGACAGGGCGTCCGATAAGGGAGGGAGGGGCTGTCCCTCCACAGTCCGGAAAGGATGCTACCAGGCCCTTCGTACCAGGACGTCCCACAGGAGCGATGGATCATGTAGACGAAAATCCCAGGCCACATGTTCTCAAAGGGACCGATGTCAAAGTGGAACCTGAAAAGAAACGCAGAGAGGCTCGGTTTACGCCTACATCAGTTCACACACACCAGTGAGAGAGAAAGCAGGTCACTGCTGTCTCCTGCCTCAGTCACATCTCTGCTGTACGGACAGGTTTCCAAAAGGAAATCCACTCCTGCCTTCAGGAACTTAGTGCAATATGTGCTTAATGGTCACTGCTTAATTCTCTATCAAACAGTGTAAAAAAGGGATGCTGTGGTTACTATCAGAGCAATGAAAAAGTAAAAAATTTATATTATGAAAAATGCACAGATATTACATAACTCATAGATAAGGGGATAAAAAAGATCATAAAAAATTTTAGAGCTGAAGATTATCCTAACTTCTCTTTAAATCCGCAGGAAAAAAATTTCATAAATATGAACACATCCAAAGTTTTTACCTATTTTTAATTTGCTAATTTATTGACATTTAACCCAAATAAACAGAGTGGCATATGGTATAGTATTTAAAAAAACATCCTCAGTCATAACGTTTCTGACACCAAAGGTGTTTTCTGCACCAAGCAGTTCTCCAGTCCTCTGCGGACACCAATGATGCTCACAATGCAGCTCAACCTGAGCCGCCTGGAATTAGCAGAGCCCAGGCTCCGTCCTCAGCCCCCCGGACTGCCCCTCACTCTACAGAACAACTGCAAGTCCGAGCCAAGCAGCTACAAAGCTGAGGTCTTACTACTTGGGGTTCACTAGGAAGGAAGCACGTCAGGAGACAGGGCAGGGGGAGTAAGGGAGAGGGAGGCACAGGCCAGCTGTGGGCAGGGGCACTGGCTCCATGCTCTCAGGCTCCCCCTCCCCAGGCTGTGATGCGTGTGCGGACAACTCTCGAACCCTATTTCAGGGTTTTCCTGGAGGCCTTCCCCCAGGCACGACTACTAAGTCACTGGCCTTTGATGAGGACCTCATCCCCACCTCCTGTACCCCCAGAAGTCCTAATCACATGGCTTGTTCCTGCTCCACCCCATGCACAGATTCATGCACCAGTGGGGTCCCTCAGCCTGGCCTGCGGGGAAGAGGCCAAAACTGGCTCTCCAACATCCCCTGAGGGATCCGTTCTTGGGTAACATACCCCAAAATTAGGCTCCCTCCTGTCTGGCTCCCAGTGTGTCACCCAAGAACCGCAGCTGCCAAGTCACTGCAGCTCTGCAGTTCCTGTGTTGAGCATCTGCCCCCTGGCGGTCAGTGCACGTCATGGCTACTGATCGGGTGGTTGGATGGTCACTTAGGCTTTTACATAAATACGAGAGGCCCAATGCACACAATTCGTGCACAGGACTCAGCCCTGGCAACCGAGGCAACTGCCTCAGCCCATGCAGCTGCCTTGGCTCTTACAGCCCAGGCTTTGTCCTGAAGGTCATCTGGCTGTCCGGTCTAATTAGCATATTATGCTTTTAATATTATAGACAGATGTATACTATATATATCATTAAAAGATAAACTAAGACAGAACTGACATTTTATGAGCGGATCTGAGCAAACATCAGTTCAACCAGCAGCGCCAGCCCTGAAGTGGTGAGGAGAGCTGCACCCAGGGGAGGGAGACCACAGAGAAGGGGCAGCAGAGAGAGGCGCTCACTGATTGGCTGCAGCAGAGAGGCGCTCACTGATTGGCTGTAGCAGAGAGGAGCTCACCGATTGGCTGTAGCAGAGAGGCGCTCACTGATTGGCTGCAGGTGAAGTGGCTGGCTCTTTGGAATTGGGCTGTCCCAGTGTTTCTACCTGTTACCTAGGCCACCAGGGCAGTAAGACTGCCTCATTTCAGGGCCTCCTTGTTTAATTGACACCACTATATGCCCCGTTATAAAGCAACTATCAGCTCTGGATCACTTCTGGGAAGTTTCTATGCCGTTAGTGTTGGCTTGTTCTTGCAATGGCTGTACATATTACCAGAAGTTTTACCGCCAGCAACTGCATATATTAGCACAGAGCACAGGCTTGGAAAACAAATTGTAAAAGTTGAATTATTAACTTTTCCAATTTGTAATTGTAAAATTATACAGAAAACTGTTAGAATCTGATATTAAATGCCATTTAAACATTAACTATTATATAGTGTTGACTGTACAAAAGACTAAAGAGGACAGCTAACATTTAGGTTAACTCATTTCAAAATTGCGTTCAGTGTTTTTTTAAATATGAGACCCGGACAGGTTGTACCGGAATCCCCTCGCGAGGGAGCAAGGGCAGCGTGCGGTGGCACCGGCACTGCGGGGTCCGTGCCCTGGCCTGTGGCCGGCTCCCTCCCGGCGCCGGGGGACTCACAGCTCCACCTCCTTGCAGAGGCGCCCGGGCAGCGTGAAGCGCATGAGGCCCTGCCACTCCTCGGCCGTGCAGATGCTGTGGTAGGACAGCTTCTCCATGGTCACGCGGTAGATGCACTCCGAGTGGCGGATCCGGTGGTACATCTGCAGGCAGACGGGGGGACGTGCGTCATTACAGTTCAGGGCCTGGCCGGGGAGAAGCGGAGCAGCGACTGGCACCACCTCCACCCGTGAACCTATTCCATTTCTACCTCCACGAACCCTGCAGCGCCCCACACACGCGGCCTGGCGGGGACAGTACAGAGGACCACGTGTGTGTGAAAGGCTGAGTAACACTGGAACAGCTGTCTTTTTGTTGTCGTTAATCCTCACCCAATGATATTTTTCCACTAATTTTTTAGAAAGAATGAGAGAAGGAAAGGCAGAGAGAAATATTGATGTGAGAGAAACACATCGATTGGTTGCCTCCTGCACACGCCCCAACCAAGGCCTGGGAAGGAGCCTGGAACCAAAGTATGTGCCCTTGACCGGAATCGAACCCGGGACCCTGCAAGCCGACACGCTACCCGCTGAGCCACACCGGCCAGGGCCAGCTATCTTTACCAGCCTTCTCTCTGGGAGGGAGGCTGGCTAGTCCCTGGCTGGCTCTGCGATGGCTGTAGACTCGCAGCTACAGGCACGGACACACAGACCGCCGTCTAGAAGCCGAGCGGTGGATCTCATTATAAAGCCTGGATGGAGACAGGCAGAGACCAAGTGAGTCAAGAATGAAGGTGTTTTTTCTGTCTCCTTTTAAAACGTGGAGCTTCATCCTGGGTGATGTCGGCCCTCCCGTCCAGGAGTCCAGGAGCTTGACTGTGAGGGCTTTCGCTGGTCAAGAATATGGAGACTCGGGACCAATACATGGACAGTCCTTTAGCAACTGTGTGCACACGCACTGCGCTGACGGGTCACGTGCTTTATAAAAACACACTGAAATAGACATGTTTAAACGTACATATGTCCATGCTTACTGCACACGGCCTTCTGTGTACTAAACAATGACAGACATTAAAATAAAAAGCACTGTACTGTAACTAAGAGGCTGTTATCAGTCGGCATGCGCTCTCTTACTCCTCGGTGGGGTGGTGACACTGATGTCCTCTCAGATCCACGTTTCCAGTCTGGTTTTCAGAGTGCCGGCGGCTGTGCCAGAAAGCATGTGGCTGCCAATGGAGCGACGCTCGTCCTGCCAGTTCTTAAACGGCCACTGTAGCTTCGTTCCCTAACAGCTAACATTTTGGTTGAAACTCGGATACATTTCTGTGTTCAGGAATCTCAATCAGTTAATCCTGAAAACTCAGCAGCTGAGTGTTCACGTAAGCAGAGGCTCACAGCTGTGAGGAGCGGAAGAGAGTTCGTTCTTGTGTTCCAGTTGATCACTGTGCTATTGTCCATAAGGACAACTTCTGCCCACCCTGGACCTTCCAACAGGCTCAAGCCGAGAAAACAACGGCAACCATCTGTCTCCCAAGTGCCCTCTCTGGCACAGGAGCTGGTTGGGAAAGCCATTACTTTCTTGTTTGGGGTTAATGCCGCGTGCTGTGGCCGTGAGCAAAATCCGTAAGCTCCCTGTGTCCACTTTCCTCAGCTCATCTGGAGTCAACATCAGAGAAACTGCTGCAGTGAGACTCTCCATGCTTCCACCTGCTCGTGAGTGAGAGCCACGCTTGTGGCCCTTCACCACAAAAGGGACAGCCAGGCACACGTGATGCTGCACCTCGGGGCAGAGCAGGCTCCGGACACAAAATAAGACGGCTCGAAGGGCTCTGGGGGTCAGACCAGAGCTGCCAACATGCAACCAGAGAGCAGAGGGAGAAATGGACGCAGAGGCTTCTGGGTAAACTCTCTGCCTAGACACAGGGGCACGTCCCAGTGGGGTCACCATCACCGGGAATGGGAGGTACCTGCCGGCAGGGGTTCGAAAGCACTTCACTGTGATATTCCCGTCCAAGTTATAACCTCAGAGCAGGTCACAACCAGTGAACAGCAGGCGAAGCAAACTGAGAATTCCTCAAAGTGACTGGGCTGCAGGCTTCACCGCCCGGCTGCAGGGCGGAGAGGAGGGAGCCCGGGTCGGCTCCAGCACTAGCACAGCTCAGATGTTGAGGCCTGAGCCCTTCAGATGTGCCCGTGTTTGTAGACTGGGTCTTTAAGAGGTAATTAAAGCAAAACGAGGTCAGCAGGGTGGGCCCTGACCCAATACAACGAGAGTCCTTGCAAGGAGAGGAGCTTGCAGACAGACAGAAATACTGAGGAGGAGCACGCACACGGTGCGTTAGAATAAACGTGGGTGCGGAGAGGGAGGAGGGTGATGCTGCCTTCCCCAGCACTGGCGCTTGCCCCTGCTTTTTAAACGGGATGTGTAAGTACCAAGTTGCTGCAGCGCTTGGATTCCACTGGATTCATGTAAAAGATAAGTCATACTCAAAACATACTGAGCTACATTATCTGCAACTCTGAAGCTAAACAGAGGCAAGCCGTCACTGTTTTTATTTATGGGGGAGACAGAACCTGAAAAAAAGAGAGCTGATACTGTTTCTTTCTAATGAGCCACGCAACACTCAGTGTCCCCAGCAGAGGGCGCCCTGGCACCACAAAGGAAGCTGGGCTCTTGGGAAGGCGCTTTGAGCAGGTTTCCTTAGCCCCTGAAGTACTCTTACCCTGATTTGGGGTCGTAGACCTGTTAAGCGGGTTCCATTAATTACCAAATTAATCCTCTGGAACGTGGTTCCATTTACAAAAAGGCTACTTCTCTAAATTATTGAAGTAGTAACTTCCATTTCTACTGACTGCACTTTATCAAAAAGTTAATAAAATGTCCCCTAACTTCTAAATCCCAGTCCTGTCATGAAAGGAATCCTGGGGTTTATAACAGACCAAATGTCCAACTCACTGAAAATGGAAAAGATGGAAAATCAACTGCTCTAACGTGAGAGTGCACAGGGTGAGCGGTGCACCTCCTGCAGTGGGCACGCAGGCAGGACAGGGAGCTACCTGCTCCTGGGCACCGCCCTCCGCAGAGGCGGCACCGTGCCCGGCAGAGGCTCTGAAAGTGCCTCCGCGCTCCTCTCCGTGGACGTGAGGTTTGAACATTTCACCTCGTTTAACCTCTCCAACACACCCCCCACCTCCCAATATATTTTTATTGATTTCAGACAGGAAGGGAGAGGGAGAGACAGAAACATCAGTGATGAGAGACAATCATTGAGAATCATCCATCGGCTGCCTCCTGCACACCCCCTACTGGGGACTGAGCCTGCAACCTGGGCATGTGCCCTGACCAGAATCAAGCCCACGACCCTTCAGTCCTCAGGCCAATGCTTTATCCACTGAGCCAAACTGGCTAGGGCGATTTCAACTATTTAAAGAACAAATTCTCACCTTGAAATAAATGCAAAATATTAGGGGATTTTATTTTCTAAGTTTGAGCCACCAGGAACTGGTTTAATGAAGGAATCTTGAACGGCAAAAAGACACCCTCACACTTCGTTATTCCCATCGTTTTAAAGCTACTATTGAGCAGTGAGGAAGGTATTAAAAGCAGGGCTCACGTTGGCACAGTGCAAGGCTAACGCACAGAAGACGGCGAACATCTTGAAGTTGTTCTCGTCCGTTTTGGAGAAGGCGCTGCCGCTGATCTTGTTCACCATCTGCACCACGCCGATCACGCTGCCGCGGCTCACGATGGGCATGCACAGGATGTTGCGTGTGGTGTAGCCCGTGTACAGGTCCACCTCCCTGTGGGGAGGAGGGGGACAAGCAACCACACACACAAAAAAAAACAGAAGGTAAATGACTTATTCTACCATAAAACTCAACTCCGCTTTGCAAGTTACATGCTCCTATTACAAATACCTCTAACGGAGCCGTCAGCTTCCAAATTCAAGGACACGTGGCATTTGGAAGTGTTCTCCTTAAACCTTTTCAAAAACATTCTAACTAGTTTGTTCTTTGTTCTCAGAGCTTTTCAGAACAGGATCCAGAGGCTTCGGCTTACTGCTCAGCTTGAAGAACCCAGCATTACTGGGAAAACACCAACTGTCCATCCAGAGGAAGCTAGAATCAATGTGGCAGGCGAGCATGTGCCTCTGGCCTTGGCTACATTGAGGTGAGCTTGCTGAGCAGGCACACATGGGCACGAAGAGCGGGCCGCACCAGCGCTCCTGTCTGCACACACAGCTCTGGTGGACTAGACCACACCCCCCGAACACTGCGCCCAGCCCCAGCAGACGCCGTGGCCTGCAAAGCCCAGAACACTGCTCTCTGATTCTCAAAAGTTTACCAACTTTGATGTCAAGGAAAGTAAGGCTGAAGTAAGACCCCGCTCCACAGAGGCAGCCGTGAAGTTAGGCCACCAGAGGGATGGGTCTGTGTGCCTGGCTTCTCCCGAGGCCACTGTTCACAGACACAGCCGCGTGGCTGGTGGAGCAGGGTCAGCCCTCTGCTGGCCGAGTAGGAACCTATGTTCAGGTGGTGTCACCGTTTCTTTTCCCGTTCACCAGCTCATGGACATGACCATGAGTGACCCAGCTGAGGCAGCATGAACAATGCCGCGCTGAAGATCGGTTCTGCTCTGTGGACAGGGGTCACCGGGTTCCTTGGAGACACACCCAGCAGAGCTGACCAAGAATAGTCACATCTGCTTATCTTTATGAGAAACCACAACTGCTTTCCGAAGTGCTGTGCTATCCACCTGCAAAGCAGAGCGTCCCCGGCCCGTGGCCGTCAGCCCTCGCTAACGCCCGTCTTCGAAAATCTCAGCCCTGCAGTCGGTGTGTAGTGGGATCTCACCCTCAATTAAATTTCCGTTCCCTCACCTCAAAAGTCTGCGTTTATTGGCCGTTCACAGCTTCTTTTGTGCTGAGCCTGCTAAGACCTGTGCCCTATTTATCAAATAGAGTTTGTGTTGTTTTTGAAAAAGCAGATACTCAGCATAGTCTTTATTGATAAAACACATCACTAGAAGAGATACAATCTGTGTTTATATCCAAGTTGCGTGTGTTTGACATTAATCAAAAAATACCAGATAGAACTTCCTGTTGTTTATTTTACTTAAGTGTCTCTTAAAATAAACTGAATGTCTGGTCAAAATATTTGAACTATAACACCCTAATAATCATAGCAGCAATCTCAAGACTCAATTTCTAGATTTATTAAAATTATTATTACATGATTTGGTTTCTAGTTCTCCAAAGAAACACAGGACAGAACAGAATAGAACAGAACCCTCTGTCCTCCTGCTCCGACTCTCAGCCTCTGGCCGCAGAGAGCAGCAGCCGCAGCCATCCCCCTTCCCACGCAGCGACAGGCATCTGTAAGTATCTCCTCTCCTCGTAATAAACACAGAGCCGCAGAGAGGCATGGCCGCAGCCAGTTTAAAGAGGAGGAAACTAAGGCTCAGAGATGAAGTCACTTACCAGGTCACCCAGAGCCCTAAGTGACAGGACAGTCACCCTAAAGTGGCCCGTACGCCTGGATGCTACCAGAGTGGGCGGGACAGAGTGCTGGCACCACAGAAACAAGCAGCTGTGTGACAGCACACGTTTGCTTTTGTTGCTTTTTCAGTGTTTTAAACCCGTTAGCTGGGAATCACTAACGGTCTGGTGCCATCATCTGAAATATCGGAAAGCACTGACTCCTAATAGCAGGGCCGCTGCAGAGAATTCCCAGAGCTGAGAGGAAAGGAGGGACTTTGATGGGGTGTGAGCTCGGGCTGCACAGCCACCTCAGCCAGGGCTCTCAGCCAGGGGTCTCGCACAGGGGTCCTGGCACAGGGGGCAGGAGGGCAGAAGCCAAGGGAGGACAAGAGCTGCTTGCTGACCTGTTGAAGCGCGGGTCTGCGTAGGCATCCGGAATGTTCAGCACTTCCCCCGTCCTCGCTACCTGGCCAGCAATCCCTTTCTCAATGGAAAACCTGCAACACAAGAGAGAGGAGCATGCTCACTAAGCACAGATGCTGTGGCCACTCTGAAACTGCCTCCTGCCGCCAGACACTGAATAGAAAAGCACTTTAAATGCTTGGGTCCACTTTACATTCACACATTCTAACCACGTTATTATAAACTGTGCAAAGAGAAAGCAGAAAAACGTTGCACAGTAATCTCTTGAGACCTTGATTTTAAAATATAATTCAAAATATGTGAACTTATACTGAACCACAAATTGAAACTGAAAAGTAATTAGCATTCTCCTGCACTGACCAATAGCAATCCTTCGTATTGACAATGCACATTATCATTTACAATACGCTTCAACCTACATTTTCTGCGTTAATTCTCACTGTGGTGGGAACTGAGGCCCATATGGGTTCCGTAATTTGCTAAAATTTGTAACATGTCAATGGTACAAGGAAAGCAAGAACACAGCTCTCTAGCCGTGCATGCCTTACCACACATATAACTAGAACCACACGCTACCGATTTCTGAGAGAGAACATGACTGGATGCTAAGGCATTTGCAATTATAGCACGCTATAAAAATAACACACGTTAACACTGCTCGTGTTTTTATTTCTCTAATTTGTTAAATTTAAAAATAGTCAAAACACAAGCATTGTCTACACTTAGGTTTTGATATTTAATATCAACATTTTCTATTATAAACATGCTCTCTCATAGTTTTCTGATACAATATTACCATCAGTCATGCACTTATTTTGAAATGTAGTTAGCAAAGATGTCTGCAACGCACACCTTGCCATACTTCTGTAGCTAGACAGAACGTTATCCTGGTTTCCACTTTATAGGAGATAAGCATTATTGAATAAAGCTCCACCCCAATGACCGTCACGGAAAATATTCAAAAGGAAGTGGGTGTGACGCTGACACCACGGAACAAGATCGCCTCCAGGTTGCGTTTTCCTGGGCTGGCACCCGCGTGGCCATGGCAACGCTGACGCCCTGAGCGGGAGTCAGAATGCACTATGGGATCTGCGCGGGACGGCTTGGTCAGAGGTGGCCTGACTGTCCCTTTATTCCCACCTCAGGCGGCTGCCCTGCCAACACATCCCGGCGGCTGGCCCCTCACCTCTCCACAAGGGCCCATCTCGCACGTGAAGTCCGCCAGAGAGAGGACTTCACCTACAGACCAGATCCAGGCTGACTGACCAGAAAACCACCAGCCTAAGTATCACAATTAAAATCCTAGGTAGTGCCTGTCAGCCTGTCACATGAGTGGAATATAGGACTCTCCCCTAGGGCCATGGTCGGCAAACTGCGACTCAAGAACCACATGCAGCTCTTTGGCCCCTTGAGTGTGGCTCTTCCACAAAATACCACGGCCTGGGCGAGTCTATTTTAAAGAAGTTTAAGTTTAAAAAATTTGGCTCTCAAAAAAAATTTCAATCGTTGTCCTGTTGACATTTGGCTCTGCTGACTAAGGAGTTTGCTGACCACTGACCTAGGACCTAAAGCAGGGTTGCCCACTGGGGGGCAGTGGTGAGCGCCAGCAGGATCACGTGGTCCTCTTCACGCCGGGTCTGCCCTGTGGGACAGACAATGGCCCAAATGAACAGCGGTTCCTAGTGAACAAGGACACTGCTTTGCTGGATGCTGTGACCACCAAAGCATTTAGAGGGTTGTGTGAGAGCTGTTACACAAAGACATAAAGAAAAAAAAAATGTAAAAAAAAAGAAAATCCATGTTTTGACTGTTCGGTTTGATTCCCACACAGTCCTGACAGTGCTCCCTGCAGGCGTCGGACTGCGAGAGGACGGAGCCTGCCAGCCACACCGACCCGCTCCGCTCCGTGACAAAAGCTGCCACTTACAGCACGAAGGCGGCTTTGGTGTCAAGAGGCAACAGGAGTGTCACGTGGCCGATCACTCCGCCTGCTCAGTGACAAGACAGAGCTGACGTCACCAACACTGCAGCTCAGTGCCCTGCGGCTGGCCTTTGAGAGGGTGGCCTTGGTGCGGAGAGTGGGCGCCCCGTGAAGCTCGCCTGCCGCTAACACGGGAAACCTGCCGCCTCCATCCAGGCGGGCGCCTTTACCTACCTGGGGGCACTAGTCAGTTTTTCCAACATGATTTCCAAAAGGACCGCCTCCGAAGACGGCGTTCCGGGGGACGCTAACCTTCTCGGCGGGGTGGGCCGGCACTGCAATGCCATCCCAGAAGCACTGCCTTGGGGAGGCGGGGCCTGGTGGGAGTGACACCACAGTGTGACAAGCGTCAGCGCACCTGCGGGCAGAGCGGGGCAGGACCTGGCGCTGCACGCGGCAGCCGCGCTGTGTACCTGATCTCCTTGGTCTTCTTGAAGACGGGCCTGCCCTCCTTCACCTCCCCGATGTCGAAGAGGTCCGAGTACAGCTCCTGGTTCTTGTGGTCCACCTGGAAGAGGGCGCAGCGGTCGGCGTTCACCAGGTTCTTGGCATAAATCTAAGGGCAGACGGGAAAGCACTGGTAAGCCGACGAGAAAGGCATCAATTTTGCATCAGAAATACATACTCAGTTCAGCTATGGCAATAAAATAAAGTAAAAAAAAAAAAAAATGATTATCTCAATGAATGCGGAGAAAGTGGAGGTTGAAACCCAATCATGATTTTAAAAAACTAGGAACAGAAGGAACTTCCTCAATCTGATAAAGGCCATCTACAAAAAAACACAACAAATATACTTCACAGTGAAAGACTGGATACTTCTCCTCTAAAATCAGCAATAAGACAAGGATGTACCCACTCTCAACCTCTACTCAACATCGTGCTGGAGGTTCTACACAGGACAATTGCACGGAAAATAAGGGCATCCAGCTGGGACAGGAGAAAGTGAAACTACCATTAATTCTAGACGACATAATTCCGCCCACAGAAAACCCTAAAGAACCCACTCAAGAAACTACTGAGGATAATGATCTCATCAAGTTTGAATGATACAAGATTAATAGACAAAAATCAATTTTACTTCTACACATTTTTAATAAAAATCTGAAAACAAATTTAAGAAAGGCAATTCCATTTATAATAGCATTAAAAATAAAATATTAAGAAATAACTTTACCAAAATAATAATAGTTATGCTTTGGAAATTACAAACGTTGCTCTAAAAGTAAAGATAATGTAAATAAGTAAAAAAAGACCCCATGTTCATGCTGAAATACTAATGTTGTTAAGATGCCAAACTGATCTATGAATTAAACACAATCCCTCTCAGAATCCCATCTGAATTATTTGTATAAACTGACAAGTAAATTTCTAAAAGTTATACAAAATTGCAAGGAACCAAAAATTATTGAAAAAGAACAAATTTGGAGGACTGTCACTTCCCAAAACTTTCTACCAAACAACAGTAACCCAGGCAGTGTGACACTGTCCTTGAGGAAGACAGACAGATGGCGGGTAGGACAAGAGCCTAGAAACGAGATGACGCGGAGGAGAAGTATCGGGGACCGCCATGCAGGAAGACTTGGCTGGGGATTCCCTGCCAGCACACGCACAAAGGCCTCTGGAGGCCACAGAAAGAAACTCAATGTTTTCAAGGTATAAATGTTTCCCATGCTCGCCACTAAGTAAAAAAAAGCTCTGAGGTATTTCTCAAAACGTTACTTGACGCCCACCCTCCAAATACATAGAAGTGACCCCCAAACCCAGGCCGCACCCCCGGATCCCTTCTCGCCCCTTTAGACATTGGTACACTAAAGGCCTAGTACGTTACACATCCACCATACACTAGACGTGACTCTAAGGTAGTAAAAGCATTGTCAAAACAAACAGCAACCTACCATTATGTGTTCCAGTAGAGAATCTATGGCGACTATGTTATCAAAATATGTTCTGCAAGAGAGGACAGGAAACGGTGAGCGACCTCAGCGAGAACAGAGCTAGGGCACTTTGAGCACATTCCCCAGGTGTGTCCTCACTGAAATGAAAGCATAACGATATATGTCTGATTCTTGCCATTTCTGGAACAATCCTTAATATTATTTTAAAGAGCTTCACAGAACGTTATCACCGACTTTGGCCTGCAGACTCTCATTTCAGAGGGAGCATTAAAAGGAATTCTTTCATTGATAAGTACTGATGCAGGAAGGAAATCTGTAGCGTTTAACTAAAAGTGGGAAAGAATAAAACTAGGTTCACTACATGTAATACTGCCATTAATAATTTTATCTGAAATGAAAAACGTGTAAATGTGCTACACCTCATTAATGTGGCTAAGATGTGAATTTACCACTGAAAACCCGACAAGTTCGAATGTAGCTGAGCTGTACTGAGGCTCCAGCGTCCCTCACTGAGAAGAAACACCAGAATAAACACGCTGGGGAGGCCGGGGGACCGCAGTGACTATACTTTCAGCAGGAAGAGTGGAAAGAAGTGTTTTGGAGGTGGCTGGCACACCCACAAAAACAGACCTGACGAACAGAGGACTGTTAGGGGGCATGGCGTGTAGGGATATGCCAGTCCCCGCAAAGAAGGCTTCTCAGCGAGGGCCGTGTTGGCGAGGCACGCTTTCAGCCAAGTTTGCGGCCATCCTGCCGAGACCGGTTTGGCTCAGTGGATAGAGCGTCGGCTTGGGGACTGAAGGGTCCCAGGTTCAATTCGGTCAGGGGCATGTATCTTGGTTGCGGGCATATCCCCAGTAGGAGATGTGCAAGAGGCAGCTGATTGATGGCTCTCTCTCGTCGATGTTTCTCTCTCTCTCTCTCTCTCTCTCTCTCTCTCTCTCTCTCTCTCTCTCTCCCTTCCTCTCTGTAAGAAATCAATAAAATATATTTTAAAAGTTTGCGCCCATCCAGCAATGTCCTCGTAATAAGGACAGCATATAAACAAACGTGCCTTTCATCTAAAGACATCGTTAGCTGGAACACACTAAGACTTAGGCTCAGGGCCCCGCACACTGAGGAACGCATGGCCAGGAAGTGGGAAGCAAACTGGTTACCCCACCGAGCAAAGTGACATGTCATAGGCGGGAAGGAGCGGGGTTTTGGAAAATTTACAAGAGATTCGAGCCCATGGACAAGAAAGGCTTCCCTTTGGGTGTGTTCTGAAATAGTGTCACGTGCCCCACAGCTATTATTTCACTTTATCTCAACCATTAAGGGATCAAAGAGGATCTCCTTCAATTTCATGTTTCTCTAACTTCATATTTAAGAAACTAAGTGTAACACACAGCAGCGGCTTCGGATTAACTAGTCACGGACGCCAGGAGAGCGGGGAGGGTAGAGCAAGCAAGCCCGAGGGCTGCTGGCAGCCTGGAAGGCAGGCCAGGCCGCTCTCCCCATGTGACCCCGACGCACCTGCGGCAGCCTCAGGTCTCGAGGGCAAGCACAAGCGGGACCCCTGTGCACCTGGGCTCCATCAAGTTCCTGGTCCTGCTGCCACCCCTGTCCGGAGTTTCTCAGGTCAGCCTCGGGCGATGGGCCTTTTCTCTAAAATCCTGTCTCAGCTACTGTACACAGGAAAATTAAATAGTAATAATAGCATTTCGCTGACTTTTACAGAAAATGCTGGAGATGTCTTTTTGAAAGGAACTAACTAGGAAATTCCTCTCTACTGCTGTTAGTTTTCTCCCACAAACAGACACCCCGTGTCTGTACCATATGCATAACCCATGGACACATGGAAGGGGCCAATGGGGGGAGAAAGGGGACACCTATAATACTTTCAACAATAAAGATCCATTAAAAGAAACGCACAGCAAACTGCAAATGAGAACCATCGCCTAACTGTCGCCGCCCCTCCCCGGCAGCGTGAGGGAGGGAGGGAGGATGAGAGTACCCCCAACCCTCTCGGCCCACCACCTGCCCAGTGCAGTCCCCAGCAGCGGCAGCCGCCCGCCCCCCCCGAAGCGCACACTCACTTTGATACGTCGAGTAGAAAGTCATTCAGCTCAGTCTGTTTGGCAAGGCCTCTGCATAGCTGTGTGGGAAACAAAGGCCATTAAAGATAGCAGACATTTGCCTCTTTACAAGTCACCATTCCAGACCACCACCGACTTTGTTTCATGTAAAAGGTGGAACTCCATCAATCCCAGCTCATTTTCCTGAAGGCTTAGATGTGCTGACAAGCACTTGGCACTCAGAACCTCATCTGACCACCAGCCCCGCCGGTGAGGGCCTGACTGTGGAGCTGAGGCGGGAGGAGCTCAGAGTCTTGCTCAGACCCAGCGGGGCAGGGCGCGGGGCGGAGCCAGCATCTGGTCCAGGCACTCTGCCTCCAGCGCTCCCTCTTCCAAACCCTTCCCACTTGGCAAACTGACGTGGGCACATCTTCCATCCACTTTCTCGTGTCAGCTCCCATGTCCTGCTCCTTGGCCCCCTTCCCCACACTTAGGACTTTCTCTGCATCGCCCGGTCCCTCGTGGACCCGAGCTGGCCGTGGGGACTCAGAAAAGCAAAGCACGAGGAGCAGCAGTGAAGATACAACGCAGAACTGTACCCGTGTCCCCGAAGTTTCCCAAGTGCAGCCCCACGAAACCTATACAGTGCGCGAGTGAGGCGTTTTTTCCGAAACTCAACGTTCATGTGTCCATACACCAGTGGGTGGAGAGGATGCCTGAACTTAGGAAACGGAGTCAGAGAAGTATCAATGTCCCGACCAGGAGGAGACTGATCCTGGGCTTTCGGGGGAAACAAAAATCCCAGTAGGACACATACCCTTTATTGCATAAACGATGGGCAACTGTATATGAGTGTATAAAAATCACCGCCACTTAGTGAAGCCAGTGGTAAGGTTTCATAAATAACAACATCGCTAAGATGCAAACAGGAAGCTGGGACAGGGACCCACCTGCACCTGGTGAATGGCGACCGACGCCCAGGCGAGGTTCGCTGTGGCCACCTAAGGGGAGAGAACACGGTTAGCCCGGTGCGCCAGCCACCGCGTGCAGGAACACTGTCTGAGGAGCCAGCACAGAGCATCCTGTGTTATGACAGGACCTCTCTCTTACATCCCTCCTGCCTTTACAATGGAACCAAGTGCTTCCTTGTTCCCTTCATTTTGGATAGAAAGGAACATAAATGGGTTAAAAGAGCTAGAGTCCAGGACTTCAATATAAAATAATTTTAGTGTAATAACAATACTATTAAAAAGGCCTCTAACAGCAACTCTACAATGAAGCATTTCTAAAACTTTGCTCACGAGTACTCACATTACTCACTATTCTACTTCTTCTGCTACCCATTCACCTAGCGAGTATTTACCTGGTGTCCACCAGGTGCTGGGCACTGTCCTCGGTGCTGAAGACAGGGCCCAGGGACACAGAATAGTTGACTGTGGGGACAGAAAAAAGAGCTCAGCCAGCATGGCTCAGTGGCTGAAAGTCAACCTATGAACCAGGAGGTCACAGTTCAATTCCCGGTCAGGGCACGGGCCCAGGTTGTGGGCTCCATCCCCAATGTGGGGCATGCAGGAGGCAGCCGATCAATGATTCTCTCTCATCAATGATTCTCTCTCTCTCTCTTCTTCTCTCTTCCTCTCTGAAATCAATCTATAATAACAAAAAGGTAATATGCTAGTTAGACCTCATGTCCTTCCAGGTGAAGCCACCTGGGTCCCGGGTGCTGGCTGTGGCTAGAAGGAAGTAGCCTGGGTCCCAGGTGCTGGAGGGAATTTTACTAGTGCATTGGGCTCTAGTAAAAATATAATTGAAAAAAAAGGTAAGAAAGAGCATCAGCTGGCAGTGGAGCCGCAGAGGACCGGGAGCAGGAACCGGCAGTGAGGACAGGAGCAGCGGGAGCCTCAGTGTGCACATGCTCCGGGAGGCACCCCTGCAGAAGGGGCGGGAGCTGGGAAGGACGAGGACACACACAGGCTCTGACTAAGAGCCCTGCAGTCTTGTTCCAGGGGCTGGTGCAGGAGGGGAAGGTAGGAACAGGGTGTGCCATCGGGGCAGTGGACAGGTGCAGCCATGAGGTGTGGCAGGCATACTGCAATGTTCATTGATGTATTGATGAGCAAACCCCGCTCAGGGAAGAGGGACAGAATGCACTGTCCTCCGCGTGGATCTAGTGCTGGCACCTCATGCACGACAGTCTAAAGGAAGCTAAAGTTTTTAGGAAAATGTGAGACCTCCAGAATATGGGAACTGTCTGGAGTTATCTTCAGCTGGTTTACAACAGGACGTACTCTTACTTTTATTGTCTCAATGGATTCTCACTTTAAAATGCCTAATTTCCAGTTTAATCAGTCCCCTCTCTAAATAACCAGAAAACAAAACAAGTTTTAAAAGTCATTAGTATAGAATCAAAAAGCAAACTATGGCTTTAACTATTTATTCATTCATTCATGTATTCATTCACTGCGACTCTGACGGAGCACCTCGGCCAGCACAGCCCAGCCCTGCCGCCTCACCTCCTGCTGGCGCAGAGAGAAGGAGTCCTTGCCCCAGTGCCGGTACAGCTCCAGGATGCCTACCAGGTCGCCAATCGCCGTGACGATCGGCAAACAGAGAACAGACTTGATCCGAGTCCCTGATTCCAGTCCAGTACCGCCTGGAAATCGTTCATCCTGGAAAATTAAATGGGGAAAGGTAGCAGCTCAGTAAAATGAATGGAATAATGCACTTATGGCCCTTATTCCTGTGAAATCACCTCATACTTCAATCAATAACAAGCAGACCCTTTCAAGGAAAAGCCAAGGGCCATGGCCACCATCGGCAGTGCTTAAGGAAACTGTCGTCAGCAGTGTGGCTCCTGGACAAACCAGCCCTGAGCCTTAGCTTTGTGCAAGGCTTCACCCACTCACACACATTCATTTCATGCAATAACCAAAGAAAGGGTGATGGCTAACGTGTTATTCACCACCTGCTACAGTTCTAGGACTTCTATAATGGTGTGTTAAGTATAATGCCACAAGTGAACATTCAAACGTAAGAATCATATGAAGGAAATTATATATTAAATGTTTCTCTTTTATTCTGAAGGTTAGAATAACACAAAAGTGGATGTTCATGATAGTCATTTTACCTGAACCTCAAAGACTGATATTAAATATTCAAGTCATCCAATAATTGTCAATGATTTATCAAAAGAAAAATTGGTTCTTTGAATTTAATAATTTTCTAGCTTAGCCAAATCTCCCAAATGAGTAACAAGACACTGATTCTACTTGTTCAGTTTCTGTTGTCTGCAGGACACTTTTCATGAATCTAGAACAGCACAAATCTACACTTTTAGTATAATTTACACTTATATCAATAGTAAATCTACACTTATAATTTATAAACCTTTTGGAAGTTTGCATATACAATAGAGCATTTTCAGATGACAACTTATACAGTATCTACTTTTAATACTTTTTAAAAGTGAAATCTGCTTTCTGTTTTCTTTCTTTTTCTAAATAAAATAACTAGTTATCTGATTTGTTCAAGGTCACACAGGTAGTTGGAGGCAGAACCACAATGAAAACCCACATTTCTGAGTCTTGTTTGGAAGTTTTCAGAACAAATGGATGGCACCCAGAAACCTGGTGGCACCTCGTCACTCGGAGAACTTCACTTTGTATTACAGTCTCTGCACCCATGCTTCATCGGGTCCCTAAAACTGCGCTTGCCCCCGGCATCTGCTCTGGCCAACGACAGGGCAGAACATGTGATCGGAGCACAGACTCGGAACCTCACAGGCAGGTCTGATTTCCTCTCCAGGACCCCGGCCACTGCCGTAAGAGTGTGCTAGGCCACTCTCCGGGTGGTGGGGACACACCTGAGCCGAGGCCATCCGAGGCCGGCCAGCTCCGAGGTGTGGCCAGCTAATGGCAGCTGTGTAAGCAACCCGGCCAGGCCCAGCCCAGACCAGCAGGAAGGCCCATCCAGACTTATGGGAACACCAGGTGGTTGTTGTGTGACACCCAAATTTGGGGTCCCCCAGCGATGGCTATCCATTCATGCATATCCTGCTAAAATGTGATATACCGACAGTTACCACTTAGTCTGCATGAGGATAAATATACATTTTCATGATTAGCTATGCTGGCATACACTTAGTGAGCATGTAAGACATGGTTTCTGAGTACAAAAACTTTGTTCACATACAAAGTCATGACTGACGTGTGTCTTGCTTTGATGCTTTAATAAAATGGCTTAAATTATACCATCAATGTGATGTCTCTCTCAATTAACACTTCCCCCCACCTCCTGGAGGGGGCGGCACTGAGGAGCCACGTACCCCAAGGATGTCTTCCACGAGCAGCGTCTTCCGGGACTTGGCCACGTAGGCGGAGGTGGTGGTGCCATTGGCGATGGACCCCGCGGGGATGAGCCGGGGTTTGCCCTCATTGAAGCCAGGGGGCGTGAACACGCACAGGCTCTGGGAGAAGAAAGAACAGTTTGTAGGCTTCCGTGCGCTGTGGCATGGGGCAGAGACTCCTGGCGTTTCGGGACAGTCCCGAGGAGGCCGGGTGCTGGGGAGGAGCAGACACGAGGGAGAGGCGCAGTGGCCGGCCTGGAGCGCCTGAACCCTCACCCACAAACACAGGGCACTGCGGGACTTGAGTGAATGTGCACAGAAAGGCTCTTCAGTAGCCGGGTTTGCTCTCTCCATAACAACGGCACGGAAGAAAAGGAAGCTGTCCGAGGGCTCAAGATGGTGTCTGACAAGAACCAGACCCACTCTCCCTGCAGCCCGGCCACCATCTGCAGCGGGTGAGTAACAACACCCAAGGGTGCGGCTCTTTCCCTTCCCTGAACCTTCCTTCCTCAGAGCCTAGTCTCCTCTGCACAGTCCCTCCCCGCTGGGCGGGGCCGCCTGCCACACACTGTGAAGGCCGCGCAGGACAGCGGTCAGGACCCGGCTCTGCGCACAAGTTCTGGATGTGTCTGGGGGCACCTGCCCCTGTCAGGTGACTGGGTGGGAGGGCCTAGTTCTGACATCATTTTCAAATTAATGTTTTTAAAAATATGATCCATTATTTTGGCTAAATCAAATCTTATCTCAAAGATCTACTAAACCAGAATGGCTCGCCTATGGGCATCCTCTGGGCGCTGGGCAGCACTCTGACATGACTCCATGACAACATAAACCCAACATGGAAACCACTGAGGCAGGGTGATGTCTCCCAGCCGACTGCCGTCTTCGATCGGACTGCTGGGCTCCAGGTGGAAGGCCTGGAGCTACAAGCACTGGACCACCTCTCACGCCAAACACGTCCCTCTGAGCTCAGGCCACCCCATGCTGGCTCTAGGCAAAGGCAGGAGCTGGGTGTGTTTATTAACTTTTAGCCAAGTAGTTTGCAAGCTTTGTAATGTCAGAGACTCCTTTTTCACATAAAATCTCATCTATAATCACAAGACGTGAGCTGCCTACACTTGGCCCTCCCAAGGCAGGAACGAACCGGGAGAGGGCATGGTGACACCGGCTGCCTTACACATCACCGTCCTGGCGGGCAGCTCCGCTCCAGTCACAAGCGCCCCTGCCTCAGCCAGAGCAGTGCTCGCGTAGCACTGGCTACCGAGTACGTGACTGTGGAACTATATTTAAGTGCTTCTATGTTAAAGTATTTAAATACAAGTCACACACTTTAGAGAATACAAACATTTACACTGTAATTCACAAGATGATGAATAACCATTTCACCTCGTTTATTTTTAAAGAGGCCAGATATCAATCCCTGTGTGTGAAGCTGCTATCATTCTATGTGCATATGGCAGAGAGGCGGCAAGGTCTCCGCTACGTGTACCACCTCTCGTCGCAATAATTCCATGTGAGAGACTGGGCGGAGCGTAAAAATGAGTCAAGAACAGGAAGAGAGAGGATTTCAAGACAGACATTTACAGGATGCGGTATATTTGGCTTGCAGACAAATCGGAATGGATGTTGGTTTCCCAAGCCCTGGGGAAGTCCATCAGGAGGTGGTGCCGGCACTCCTGTCTCCTCCAGACAGGCTCCGGAAATGAACTGCAGGCGAACCGAGAGGCGCAGACAGCTCTTGAGGAGCTTCCCGTGCCGGATGGAAGGCCTGTTCCCAGCAGCGCCCAGCAGCAGCTCTTACTGATTATCGTGGTGCTGGCTGCTGTTTGTCGTTTTGGATGACTTTGCTCAACGCGCATTAAGAATGAACTTAATATTATCTTCACGTTATACTTACAGCATCATAAAAAAGCAAGTTTGAGAAAATGATTTAGTGGGAGACAGAACAGACTCTCACGATTTATTTTAAATACCTAATTTTTAAATGAAATGGGAATGTGTGATTCATTACCATCACTAAATCGACAATTCTACTTCCTTTGGTAAACACTTGCTCTCATTTTTCCTCCTATACGCAATTCAAAGGTCACTTTATTCATGAAACTTCATTTTATGGGAAGGCTCTAACCAAACTTCAGAAACACTTTCTAAGAGGGAGTTCTTAGGTGGGCCGTATTTCTCCCAGGAGACACTAGATGGCGCTCGGTGGCTAGTGAACCTAGGTCCATGAAGATGGCTGAGCCCACAGGCACCTGGAACTGGAAGTAGATCGGTGACTTTATGCTCATTTCTTAAAAATAAACCTGCTAGTTTATTACACAACTGAAAAGCCACACAATTACTGTAAACTCCTGGCTCCAAACTGGCTACTAAAACCAACAGGCGGACAGCTATCTAGGAACTTACTTGATATATTAAAAACTATTTATGTATTAGACTCTACACGGTGCTCAGCTTTTACAGAGCTCTATGGATAACACAGGAGCACTAATGACAATGCCATGAAGTATGCCAGGTGCCAACCAGCGGGGGGTGTGAGCAGGCATGAGAGAAGAACATAAGAACCCTGAGGGTTGAAGTGAGCCCGGTGTTAGCCATGGAAACACTGCGGTTGTCCCAAGGCGTTTCTAGAACACCTGGCAGTCACATGCCAGGCGCTGCTCTGGCCCGAACTCAGCGGCACCTGCTTCCTCTCCCAGCTCCCCGCTCTCACAGGTTCACTTCTTCTCCCCAAAAAGGCCTTTATTTCCCCCTCTTACCTCCGAGCAAGGTCTTCCAAGCTCTGCTCAACAGAGCCAATCAGCCAAGCGGCTTTCAATGGGACCCGCCCAGCACCCCCCCACTGCCGGGACTCGGAGCACCGTGGTGCCTCCCTGACCCCTTCAATGCCACGTGCAGTGATTTAGTGTGGATTTCTCCATCTCCCTTCTGGCTGCACATTCCTTGACCACAGAAAGGACTTGTTCTTTGCCTTTGTGTGCTCTGCAATGGAGCACCGTTTCTGGTACGTTGCAGGTGTTAAAATGGCTTGCTGAATAACGTTCTCATGAAGTAACATTTAAGCATGCAGGTTAAATGAACTCTGAGGAAATGAAAGACTCTTGTCAAAGTCACCAAGTAGTGAATCGCACTCACTAATCTGCCTCCAGAATCAAACTCCTGTGGAAAACTTCTTAAACAGTGCTAATCAACTCCTACTACCCTGTTTCCCCGAAAATAAGACAGTGTCTTATATTAATTTTTTCTCCCAAAGTTGCGCTAGGGGATATCTTATCTTTCCATGCGCTAGGTCTTATTTTCGGAGGATGTCTTATTTTCGGGGAAACACGGGTAGTTTTCAGAAAAGCACTACTTGAAATCCATCTTCAATGTCTTCCACTTACTGGTCTGCAGGGTTTCTATCACTGTTTGCATTAAATAGAGTACCTTAGAATTTCCTCGAAAACTTTCCATTTTAGTTAGACTTTCACTTTTAACAGTCCAAGACCCTCCTATATTTGTCGTTTTCACTGTAACCATGTTTTGCTATTTTTAAATCCTTAGGCATATAAGTGTTTTCTCTTCCTTGTCAATAGGTTGGCAGTGGCTTATCTTTAAAGGATCCGAGTTTCTTTTCCTGTATCCATAGGTTAAACTGCTCAATGCTATGGGCAGGGATTTTAATATTGACGATAGTGCTTCTGGTATCTAGGAGAGGGTCATGTGGTCAAGCCCAGTAAAAACATGTTCAAGCAATACATCCACTCACTCTTCTTCTCCAAACATGTTCCAAAAATGTATTAAAATGTTTAATACTTTAAGGATGTGAATTTTCCACTGTGAACTAAGTAAGTTCACAACTTTAGCGATATTGTAATTCAGTTTCATCACCATTGTTCTCTAAATATTCCACTCACTGTATTTGGTTCTTTTCTTTGTTCAAAGAGTAACTGGCTTATTGTTTACATTTAAATATAAAGGTTAAATTTCCTTGTTTTCAGCCATCACGAGGATCTGAATTTCTTAAATAGGAGCTAAATACATCAATGCAGAATATGATTTAAAGAAAGGGAACCCCAAGTTGGTAAATCCTAAAATAAGAAACTGAATTAAACTTTTTTGATCTGTCAGCAACTAAAAACACTCCTGCATTTTCTGCCCATTTTCTGTGAGTGTTTTGCATTATAGATTTCAATGTTCCAATGTTTACTGTGTAAACGTTGGGGGAGCTCAACCTTCACTGCAGACTGAGCCTCCACAAGTCAGGTGACCTCCCTCCCTCGGTTCAGCGGCTCCTGCTCTCTGGCACGTGCCCTCCGGTCGGCATCTTCAGGAGCAGGTTCGCTCCGGCTGAGAAGTCCTTTCCCCCGGGCCTGCACGTCCCTCCAGGAAGCAGATGAAGCTGTGGGGGCTTCAGCCTGACTGACTTTTTTCTTTCTTTCAATAGGTGGACCTATTCTATGTGTCATTTTATTGTGACATTTTTACGATGAGTTTCATAATCATACTTGATGTTTTATTAGTGTTTTAATGCTATGTAGCTCATTTTCTAAACTAGTAACTTGGTATTTTCTTTACATTTTACCTCTGTTGTAATATTAATGCTGATATTTAATTATACTACTGAAACTTTTGATATATTTAAATATTACTTAAAATTGTGTTTCTCAATACATCAATTCCAGAAAATTAACTATTTCTACTCATTCTCATTCATGAAAAAAAGAATACTTTTACAAATATAAGAATTTTATAATTCCTTCTATCTCTATCTCAATCCATGGTATTTATTGATCTACACTTAAAATTATCTCATTCTCTATTTAGGTTGCATATTGTAACTTTGTCACCAAAGCATATACATTTTGTTTTGAAAGTAAGTTATTTAAGAAAAGCTTTCTAACTATGATTCAAAATCCATAGGCAATCTTTAAAAACATTGATAAACTCATATAAATGGTAACTTTCCTGTGCAAAAGGAAGGAATATAAGGAAATATACAGGCATCTGCTCATCTGTGCAAAGAAGTGTTTTATTTTATTTAATGGGGGCATTAGCTTACATTGCAGAAGTATGTCAACATCTGTTGCAAGCAATATGGCAGATTAGATCATTTGACACTTTTGAAAAAAACAACTTTAAAATTATGTGAAGGTGGATGTAGTAGTATTATTGCAAATCCTTTAAAACCCAGTGCTGGGCTGAGGAGCAAGGAGGACCCACAAACATCGAGAAGGAAGTGCAGACGGGGATTCTGGGTAAGCCAACCCCAAACTGGGAAGCAGCAACCAAAGCCTCGACATCGCGACGTTCCCTCCGGAAAGCCGCCTGGTGACCCCGAGGCAAGAGAAGCCAGGGTCCTCTCCAGGGAAAGCTCGGGAGACCCTGGGGGGCCAGGACCTGCAAAGGGCCGCCCCGCTGAGCCTGAAGGCAAACACACGCACAGCCGCAAGGGCACCAGAGCCTCGTGCACTTACTGCCAGAGCAAGAACGGAACTCTCCTCTGAGAAACTAGCTGTGCGTCCCACGGTTGGAGACCAGAATATCAACCACTTGTAGGCCGAAAACAACCCAATTAGATAATTAATTTAATGGTCGTGGATTGGCCATGGTCAGAAACAAATGCACAACCTATCTCTAGGAAAGAAACTGCAACATGAGCTTAAAGAATACCCACTGTAGTGCTAACCTGTTTGGCTCAGTGGATAGAGCATGGCCTGTTTACTAGGTCTCAGTTTCGATTCCAACCAAGGCCATGTACCTTGATTGTGGGCTTGATCCCCCAGCAGGAGGCAGCTGATTGATCTTTCTCTCTCATTGATGTTTCTAACTCTCTATCCCTCTCCCTTCTTCTCTGTAAAAAATCAATAAAAGTATATTTCTAAAAAAAAAAAAAAAATACTCATTGTAAAAGGCCCAAGAAATAATATGATTCACAGTTGAAAAGTGGAAAACATAAAACACATAAAGAAATAAGTCACCTTCTATGAAAGATGGAAGAAATGAAAGGAAGGAAACTAAATTCAGGAAAAATATAAAGAAGGTATACTTCATCTATTTCAAGAAATAAAAGATAAGTCCAGGGGATTAAACGCTGTAATGAAGGACTGAGACAAAGGGAACATAACCAAAAAGTAACTGTCTTCTAGCAATCTACAGAGAGATGATATATACCAACCTGGACCCTTTATCCAGACAAAGCATCTTTAGAGCGCGTGGTGACAGACATATTCAGACAGGCAAACACTGGCTCCCATCACAGGTTCCTGCTTAGGGAAATCCCCAGCCCAGAGGAAGGACTCCAGATGGAGCAGAGAAGCAAGAAGGGAGAGCGAAGGGCAGCTGCGGACACAGCTGAGGAGACACTCGGAGCGTCAGTGTCTCCCACCCACAGACACCAAGGCCTCGCCCCCACGTCGATTACACAAACGAGAAAATACAGTCAACAGAATACAGCACCCACCCTAAGGCTCCCCTCCCAGACCAGCCCTCTGCTCCACAAAGCTCATGTTCTAGGCCAGTGGTCAGAACATTCTTTAGTCCACAAAGCAAATTTCAACAGGTGGACTCCCTTCCACCTTGAGCTCATATGCCTGGCAGTAAATAAGAATAAATGCAATCATACCAGAATTTTCTAAAAGGAATTGTTACTTTTAAATAAAAACCCCAAAATGTAGAAATAACTTTTTTAGAATGAACAGAGAACTGAGATCCATTTGTTACCTTAGAATCTTAGCCACCTTCAAGTCCCACCAGCAGGGCCAGGTAGAGCAGGTGGAGGCAGAGGGATACCCGGATAAGGTCCTTCATAAGCACTCTGGTGGCTGACTGTATGAACCCACCGAAGGAGATGTGGGGGGAATAGCGAAATGGCTGAGAAAAGGTCCCTAAAGACCTTCCTGTCCCGTAACAGTGAGAACACAGGGCTGGGGGGGTGCGGGGACCCCTACGAGTTAGGGAATCCAGCCAGTCAACACTGCCTACACCTCACTTTCCGGCCTGCCCTGCTGTATACTCAGGAGACCACAACGAACCCTCAGCGCACTGCGTCTCCACCCCCATCCCCATTTACACACATGAACAGCCCAGGACCCGAGTATCACGCTGCAAAAACACATGCCAAATCTCAAACCACAACGCCAGACGCACCACAGGAGCTTGCCAAACCAATTTATAACGGAGGTGCAATATTTAGCTCTGAGTGTAAGAACATCCTTCTAAAACGCGCATGTGTGTTTAATGCCGCAATAACACTGAGAGGCCGGGAACTGGACACATGAGACTCTGCACGCCGCCAGGTAAACCAGCGACACGGCCAGTCCGCCCCCGGAGGAAGGCAGAGCAGCCACACCAAGGCCGCCCTGGGAGGGCCGAACCAGGGCCATGCAGCTCAGGGAGTCACTTCCAAGAAACTCCCTCCCAAAACACTGAGTTGTCTTCAACAATCTAAAAGTTACATTTTATTTTATTTCTTAAAAAAGGCTCTTTATTGACTTTTAGAATGAGAGGGAAAGAAAGAGAAACATCAATGTGAGAGGGGAGCATCAACTGGCTGCCTTCTGAACTCCCCCCTGGGGACCGAGCCCACCACCAAGCAGGTGCCCTGCCCTGAAATCTACAGCAGCCTCCAGTGCAGGTGCCCTGCCCCACCAGTTGAGCCACACCGGCCGGGCAGAGAGCCACCTCAGGTTTTAACAATGCTGAACTTCTGTTCTCACTTTGTTCTGCTGCCAACGGTGTGTAAAAGGGCTGTCCACAGGGTGAAATAGCTTCTTCACAAAACCACAATCTAGAAATGGCATCTGTAAGGTAGAACACCACACACCACAACCCAAGCAATCGGTAAAGTATAAGACTACCCCTCACTGTGCCATGCTGGTAAAATTCTCGGCTGGCAACACCACACATAGAAACAAACAGTAAGGTGAACTTAAAGCACTTCATTCCAATATGTCTATTACGATGTTAACGTAACAGTTTACTTTCTAAAAAGCTTATGACATTTTCTTAACTAGGGCGCCAAAATCTAAATGTAGATACTTACATTATTGCACTCGCCAAGGAAATACAGTGCAAATCCATCCGCTTTTGTGGCTGCCAAGGCAATGAGAGAGGAAGAGACTGATGGGAACAGAAGACACAGCACGGGAGCCCTCGAGGCCAGGCCTCGGCACCGAGACGGTCAGTGGGTCTCTAACGGTCACCAGTCGTGCGGCAGACTGGACGCAATGGCCTGTGGCTTTACCCATTTACATACGTAGAGCGTTTTCATTTACTTTCATCAGCCATGGCCACGTTCAGGATGTGACATCCTCAACTCACAGAGCAGGCAGGGTACTATGTAATAACGTACTTGGCAAACTTGAAAATCAGAATTATTGAAAAATATTTTTACAATCTGAGAGTTGTATTTAACTTTCAAAGTATTAAAAATACTAGGATTTTCAGAATACTGAATAATCAGTATAAGCATCAGCCAAAAAGAATTCTGCTCGCATCTGCATATCGTCACTGCAGAGAGCATGCTGGACTTCGCTGGCGGCAGCTCCCCCAGCAGAGAGTACGGCTCAGAGCAACGCCCGAATCTCACTCCTTCCCGCAGTGTGGCCTGTCTCTACCGCAGCTTTCTCATCAGCCGGATGGTCGTAATAGCACATAAAGTTGTCACTGCCCAAATAAATTTAAAATGCTGCTTTTTCCCTAAAATTAGTGATTTCTTGTATAAATGTGACTTGGTCCAATAAAACTATACAAAGGAAGCCAGGTTTGAATGAGAAGGCATAGTACACTCCATTTAAACTTCAGGCAGATGCTGTTTTTGGGATTCTGAGAGTTTCAGAAAAAAACGTTTTCACTTCCAACGTTAGCCCAAGAACAGAAGGAAGCACATGGCACACCCTGCCTCTCCGTGAGCACATGGTGGCGCCCTTCTCTGCCAGGCAGTGGCGAGCCAGCCGTCCTCCGTGCGAGCCGCGCGGTCTCACCTGTTCTGATGATGCTGCTCAGCTCGTACAGCAGCAGCTGGTTGTCCCCGCCCGTGTCCAGCCGCTGCTCGATGTAGCTGTTCAGTTCATACACAACTCCCTGCATGTTCGTATCTTGGTACTTCAATAAAAACATAAACGGCACGATTAAATATAATAAAATTCCTTCCTTCATAAAACATACCCAACTGTATGACTATATACTTTTACACAGCATGGTTTAATATATTCTACAATAAAATAGGGGACAAAGTAAAACTGTTATGAGCTACTTAGAGTTAGCACAGACCCCATGCATGCCTATTTATATCAAATATCGCAGCTGTTTCTCAAGTTTTACATATAATGCTGCCGGCACCTTCATCAGTGAAAACGGTCCAAATGTGCCAGTGAGTGAAGCATCAAGAGAGGCCAACCTCCTGCACCACCGGGAAACCGAGAGCATCGCCGTCCACCTCTGCATCCCTGTGGCTGCCACCTAGCCCGCCCCACTCCACCACCTCCACGGCCACTGCGTCCAGGGCCTGGGCTCCATCCAGGGACCAGGGCCACGGCAGGCAGGTGGGGCTGGGAGAGGTGGCAGCGGAACCTGCGCTGCCCCAGCACAAGCCATGCCGGGGCCCCTGTAAAACCACTGAGAAGCAGACTCCTATCCCTGCGCTCCAGCTCGCCCCCTAGGCCCCTTCTCCTCACACCAGTCAGGGGAACTTGGAAAATAAAAGGGACTCCTGTAGGGAGTCCCTGAGCTCCCCTTGCACTCAGCTCTCCCATCCCTTATCCTCAGCCTGATGCTTCAGCTCGAAGAGCTCTGAGGAAGCACACAAAAGGTGCCTTTCCCATCCGGTGGAGGAAGAGCGAGGTCCCGCACTTACCCGGCTGACTTCCTTAGGCACTGGCTCGTCTGGGGAGGGAGAAGAAGGGAAACACAATTAGAACGCACTGGGTGCAGGGTGTGGAACACGCAACACGTCTTTCAATAAACAGAAGGCTTCACTGCAATGCTTCCTTGTATGAAATCTAGAACCTGGATTGTAAAACCTTTAAATAAGTGTTTCACACAACTTTAGAGCTAGATGGGCATGTGAATTTTGGAGGGACCTGAAATGACCCGACTTGCTTGTCGTTTCACGGTTACCTATAAATGGCTGTACCTGCAAACATGCTACACTGTGGCTTGTTCACATATGTGCACGGAAAAGGGTGTGTAACTGGGACAGGCACCCGTGTGGAAGAGAGATCTCCCTGCAGGGCTGGCTACATGCAAGAACATACTGTGTGACCAACCGGACACAAGAAACAGCTGGCCCAGACCACTGAAGCCCCGGTTCTGAGTGGCCAGCCCGGTCCCAGCTCTCACACTAAGGCAGTGTGCGTGCGGCCTGTCCAGGCCTGCAAGGAGGCAGCCTCTTGTTTCCCCTGCGGCTATCCAGGCTGGGAGCCATCAGGAACGGGCCAGAATGCCCACTTCCACTCACCATGGAGCACAGTTCTAGGCAAAGGAATTAGGCAAGAAAATAAAAGACATCAAATTTGAAAGAAGTAGTAAATTGATCTGTCTGTAGGTGATATGATCTTATAGGTAAAAACCCGAATATTTCACACACACACACACACACAAAAACTACACTTAGAATTCAACAAAGTAGCAAGATAAAAAAGCAAGCACACAAAAATCAGTTGCATTTCTGCACACTAACAATAAACAATTCAAAAAGGAAACTAAAAAAAAAAAAATCCATTTACAGTACCTTCAAAAATAATACAATACTTAGGAATTAACCAAAGAGATGAAAGATTTGTACAATAAAATCTACAAAATATTGGTGGAAGAGGTAAAGGAAGCATACTGAAAGCATAGCCCACAGTCATGGGTAGGAGGCAATATTGTAATGGTTCATAAGCATCACTATCATTTATCCAGAAAAATCCACAGGGAAACCTCTAGCAATTAAAAATAGTATTTAAAATCATCATGATAGCCCTGACTGGTTTGGCTCAATGGATAGAACGCCGGCCTGAAGACTGAAGGGTCCTGGGTTCAATTCTGGTCAAGGGCATGTACCTTGGTTTCGGGCACATCCCCAGTGGGGGGTGTACGGGAGGCAGCTGATTGATGTTTCTCTTTCATCGATGTTTCTCTATCTCTCTCCCTTCCTCTCCGTAAAAATCAATAAAATATATTTTAAAATTAAAAAAATAAAATAATCTTGATAATACAGTATTTCTCTTTAAATTACATACATAATTAGTCCCTTTACCATGTTCAACAGCAACAAGGCCAAAGCAGAATAAATTTACAGCTACCTTTAGGTAACAAAGATCGCCTCATTTTCTGTGGTAAGCCACAGATAAATTAGTCTAAAGACCATAATTTCCAATTAATATAAAGGCTATATTTTAACATAATGTGCTAAGAAATACAACCTTATCTTGCTATCAACCCTGTGTCAAAATTAATCTAATAGACATGAATGCTTTTAAATTATTTATTCACTCATTCAATCTTTTATTCATTAAGTGAGATTTAATGTGGCCCATATGTCAAACACTGCAGAAGACATTAGAGACTCAGCCGATGCATGGAGAGCTCTTACTAAAAGGGATTCAATGATTCCTTCTTAAAACTTAAAAACTAGTTCACAAAGTACTACGAAATGGAAGCAAAGTAGGGATGTATGAGATAGGGGCACTTTTCACACGTGTTAACACAAGTCTCACACAGACTCAGAAGACTCGCAGACCTCTATCTATCAGAGTGAAATTCAAATCACACAAGAGACAAAAACGTGAGATAAGTGGTCAACTCGTAAGAACACTCCAGTAAAAGCAATTAACGCCGGCATTTCTCATTGTGGGGCGATACTTAAGACAGCACGAATGTCACTCAGAATTCTGCTAAGGATTCAAAGGTAGGCGCTCCGTGCCCACACTTCAGCGCAGAGTTGTCTGGTCCCAAATAGTCTTACCCAATGTTATAATATTGCTAGAAAACATTATCTTTTAAAAATCACGGCTTTATTCTATCCACAAATTATGGGAGCAGAGCAAATTATTAAGAGTAAATGGAGAGCACAAATAAAATGACAAAAATACATGCCTGGAATCAAATAAAAATATTTTCTTACTGAAGTGGTAAGGCTGGGAGAGGTAAGACATCACATGGAGGTTCTATGAAATGTTTCCAGCAAAACTTTACTCCTTGATATTTCACGAACGCAGGAGAGAGACTGTTTTTTGCTTTGATTTGAAAGGAGTGAGCTACTGTGTTAAGACATCTGCAAGTACCTGGCCAGCATGGCTCAGTGGTTGAGTGTTGACCTATGAACCAGGAGGTAAAGGTTAGGTTCCTGGTCAGAGCACATGCTCGGGTTGCGGACTCGATCCCCAGTGTGGGGCATGCAAGAAGCAGCCAATCAATGATTCTCTCTCATGATTGATGCTTCTCTCTCTCTCCCCCTCTCCTCTCTGAAATAATACAAATAAAATTTTTAAAAAATGTCTACTTGCTAGATATTTTTAAATACACAGTCAACAAATCTGAAGTAATCTTATTTTTTATTGTTTATCATCTGTCTTCCCTGTAAGAAAATGACCTTGAGGGTATCAAGTTTATATATTGCTTATTCTACAATCACATACACGGGTGCTCAATAAATATCTGTTTGGTGACACACTGAAGAGCAATGAGGAGAACCTGGTCACATTCCTGCTCTAGTCACCACTCAAATAAATGTTTCCAGAAAGTATTATCCAACATTGATTAAATTATCCAGGCCAATGTTAAATCTCCAGGAAGCTTTTAAGGAATATGTGGTGAACTCATTGGCTTTCAGTTCACATCGAGGCATTTGACACATCTTCTGGTTTTGTATTACACACAAACAAAAAAAAAGATATGAAAGTTCTATTTAGCCGAGACCGATTTGGCTCAATGGATAGAGTGTCAGCTTGGGGACTGAAGGGTCCCGGGTTCGATTCCGGTCAAGGGCATGTACCTTGGTTGCGGGCATATCCCCAGTGGGGGGTTGCAAGAGGCAGCTGATCGATGACTCTCTCTCATCGATGTTTCTCTCTATCTCTTCCTCTCTGTACAAAATCAATAAAATATATTTAAAAAAAAAAAAAAAAAAAGAAAGTTCTATTTAAGTGGAAGTGTAATTTCAGTATCTTACAGTTTCTCAGAGAAAGGAGAGCACACCAAATGAGGTTCCAAGTAAACCATTTCAACGACCTGTGTTTTCCTCACTTGTGATATGTACTGACAAATCTCACTCCTTCTGAGCATGAAATATCTGAATGAACATTAAGTCTTATTAATAGAATGATTGAAAGCAAGAAATACATAGTAGAGTAAAAAAAAAAAAAAGCAAGAAACTTCATGTATTTTATGAAAAATATTTAAGGCAGCTGAAAACACCAGTATTACTATTATTAATTATTTGACATTTATAAATACACCAATAGCTACATGGTCTGCTACTGAATAGTCATAGAATTATAATAAAAAGTATTGGCCATAAAACATAGCATTGCAGCTCATAATTTTTATTTTTTACTGCAGAACTTTTCTTTCTTTCCTTCTTTTTTTTTTTTTTTTTTTTTTTTTTTTTACAAAAAACAAAACAAACCAGTCTGTATGTGGTCTCCACTTTCAGTCCTCAGGTATCCGGGCTCTCTCCTGCGAGTTTTCCACTGATTGCTCAGGACGTTTTTCTGTATTCTAGTTGTAATACCAGTTTGTTCCTGGGCGCATGTCCCTGCAGCATCCGCTTACTCTGCCACCATTTTTAATCTCCGCTGCTCATAATTTTTAGATCAATTGAGTTCAATCAATCACCCTCTTGAGTATCAAATGCAGAAACTTTCAAAACCAGAGTAAGGAGAATCAGCTCTGAGCAACATGCTGGTAGCAGCACCCTCCTCACAACACAACATTTCAACAAGGATCCCTTTACCTATAAATATAGCACTTTTGCTATAAACACATTTCCAGAAGGACAGTATTTATTTTAATATAAAAGGACTTCGTTTATTTAAAATTAATTTCCACTCTGAAACAATATCTTAAAAATGAATATTTGGACAAATGCAATTCATATAAAACCAAAATTATATGACATTATTCAGGACCTACATATTAATACGTGCATTCAATCTGGCAGGAAATAAGCTTCACATCCCTCCTGAGCCCACATCTCTTTTTTCATCAGAGCTGCTTCTTCCAGGGACAGATGTGAATGAAAATCTAATGCCAAGCCATCAGTTTTCCTACTGAGCACAGGTAAAAACTGCGTGAAAACTTCTTTTGGCAAGATATATTAACATAAATATAGCTTTGCAATACAAAAATTTTTAGTCATTAATAACCATCATTAAACAAAACCAAGTCTAACACTGCATTTTTCAATGCATTCACATCTAAATAAACTTTCAGCTAAGACCTGTTAAGGTCTTTCTTTTTAATCAAGGGTTTTTCTTTTCTGCCTAGTCCCCCTCACTGTAAAGTCAGGTTATCTCTTTAGACAGAATAAAATGATCACAAAGCTATATGTCTACCCTATGTTTCCTTTCCAGGCGTGTAAAATGCCGGTCCTTTGTCACATAAAGTGGGAAATAGCCCACATTCCGTCTGAATGAGATCTCACCTTCTGCTTTGTTGTTCTTCCTCTTCAGCCATTTCTCTACCGTCTCCACACTAACACTTTCAGATACAAATTCATCTAATATCTGAGGGTGAAGAGAAAGATATGCCTTCACTTTTTCATCTGTCAAACCTGTAAAAGAATTGAAAAGAATAAAATTAACCCACATGACATCTTCACATACATAAAAGATGTAATAATAGTGACTGATTTAAAACATAGTAAGTACAAGAAGAATACAAAGTGTGTGTGCATACAATGGAATAATACCCACCATACAAAGGGACCATGTTCTGATTTATGTACTCCATGAAGGAGCCTTAAAAACAAGTCAATAAGCCAGTGAAGGGCAGACGTTCACCCTACATTTCCGTTCACACGACGTGCCTAAGGAAGCAGACGCACAGAGACTCGGCACTGAAGGGTCTGGCGCTTGGGAAGCGGAGGATGGGGAAGTATAGCTTGATGGGTACCGTTTCTACTTTGAGTGAAGGCACGCTCTGGAAGCAGATAGTGATGACGGCACCCTGTGAGTATGGTGAATGCCCCTCAATGGCACACTGGGATGGCAAAAATGGCGATTTTCTGTTATAGATGGTGCCACCATAAAAAACAGAAAAAGTAAAGTTAGCCTCAGTGATCTAAACTACAGACATTACATCACGAAGCAGCTGTGTTCCGACGGCCCATGGCAACGTTACACTGGAACTGAGGCTGTGTCCCAGCTGCACAGCCACGCCCTACAGAGTACTCATCTGTGGTGTGTCTGCAGCTATCCTGGGTTTAATACTCAGGGTAAAGGAAGCTCTAGTGACAGTCCAAACAGGAGAGCGGACCACTGGCACACATCAGGTCCCAGACATGTTTCATGAGTACGCTCTTATCAGTTATTGTTTACAACACAAATTCGCCCCTTGCTTGGGGCACTGAATGTAGGTGCAGGGTCATCGTGAAATGTGTTCACAGAGATTCTACGTCCGTGGTCTGTTTCACCGAAATAACTTCCTTGTCTAATGATAGCTGCCCCTTACTACACCCAGGATTTTCAAAGCACTTTCACATGTTTCCACATGAATACATAAACCATGTTTTGCATTTGGTGCTTCCTGTTGCTGTGCCATTTTGGGAACTCCAAATCCCAAACAGGTTACCCTCAATTATTACTAACGGTAGTTGTTTCCACTCTGTAGCCTCGCTGTAAATCAGTCAATAGAATTGCCCTCCTGAGGGATGGTTAGGTGAAAAAAGACAATAGATAGATTCTACTTTGTAAAGAAAAAAGTAGTCCTAACCAGTTTGGCTCAGTGGACAGAGCGCTGGCCTGTGAACTGAAGGGTCCTGGGTTCAATTCTGGTCAAGGGCACATACCCAGGCTGTGGGCTCAATCCCCAGTTTGGGGCATGCAGGAGGCAGCTGGTCAATGATTCTCTCTCATCACTGATGTTTCTATCCCTTTCCCTTCCTCTCTGAAAATCAATTAAAATATATTTTAAAAAATAAAAAAGTAAATCTGTCTGACCCCAGGGAACAGGCTGGGTGCTTCCCCACCAGACAGGCCAGGATTCATGGGTGTGATTCTCAGGGGATGAAGTCATGCCTCTGACGACCCTACAACAGGACGGTGTAACTGAGACGGCAGATGGTTTCTTCCAGTGAATTAGTACTTAGGCAACTTAAACAACAGATGTATAGAGGGCTAGAGATGAAGGTAGAGATATAGAAATACAGATTTATACAGAGATGGATATTGGTAATAGATTTTTTTAATGAGAACCTATGTTCGCCCTACAAAAGAGCCCCATGATGTAAAATTCTATTTAAGAAATCCTACAGGGGCTGCACATAAGACTCATGAGAGAGAGCTCCCTGAGGAGCAGGTTGCCGTCCCAGCGCAGGAGAAACGGTGCGAAGGGAGATGACTCTGACCTGGCCTTCAAGCAGACAGACAATGCACAGCGCGTGCTCCTGAGCTTCTCCCCCACCTCACAGCGGGAGTGATGCTTGGTTCCTGCTTCGCGCTTCCGCCCCTCCCTGTGGCTCAGCTTCCCGGGCTCTTACCCTAACTGCCAATGGTGAGCCTCTGCTTTCTGCAATAAGCGATGCTGACTCAGTGAGATCTAAACCAGGTCTGAACGATGCTTGATCTCTAGCCCGTGGATGTCCTTCCACAACCACAAGCTCCCCTTGACGCAAACCTCAACGATCCTCGTCCTTCCTATTTCTTCCCTTTTCTGTTACTCTCCCTTTCCTCAGAAACCCAGATGGAAGATAAAAAGCCGTAATTGACTCATCCCTCCTTGTCATCTCATTTCATGTTAGGGCATTATTATTCAAGTCTTACTTGCCAAGTTACAAAATCACATATCTGACAAAATAAACAAAGAATTCTTAAAACTCAACAAGAAAAATGAGCGAATTAAAAGTGAATCCAATATCTAAACAGATCCTTCACCAAAGATGAGACACGGATGGCAGATAAGCCTATGAAAAGATGCACAACTGTCATCAACGAGCCGGAGGCAAAGAAAGAAGTGAGATCGAATTACATCCCTGTGAGAATGGCTGTAACCAGTCACCAGGACCAGTTGGTGCTGAGGCTGCAGGTGGCAAGGCCCCTCACTCACTGCTGGTGAGAATGCAGAGCAGTGGCCGCTGGGAAGCCTTCTCTGGCAACTTCTCCTCACGCTCAGTATAGTCCCACCACCCGGTCCAGGGGCTCAGCACAGGGTCACCTCACTGATACGAAGACTTATTTCTGAACAAAAGCCTGCATGTGACTGTGACAGCAGCTCTCCTTGTGACCAAACAGCAAGCACCCAGGCCTGGGGCGTGTCCGTGGCATTAGATATGATTTAGCAATAAAGAGAGAGCAGCCTTGGAAAGAGATGTCGCTCTAAAATGCAGTGCCGAGGGCAGTCTGAAAAGGCTGCGTACTATCAAACCCCAATCATACATACAACATCCTGGGGAAAGCAAAATGAGGGGGGGTGGGGGGGATGAGAACTCGGGTATGAGCGTGTGCTCAGGAGGGAGGGAGGCCGAATGGGCGGAGCACGGGGCAGGGGTGGGAGGGGGGTGGTACAGCCTTCCAGCTGTAAGTTAAGGAAGTTCTGGAGACCTAATTCACATACAGCAGGGTGACAGGAATCAACACTGCTGCATTGTACAGTAAACTTGAAAGTTAACAGAGCAGATCTTCCAAGTTATCGCAAAAGAGGCAGTTATGTGAGAGAAGGGGGTGTTAGCTAACCTTATTGGGGCCATCATTCTCAACACACATGTGCATGAATCATCAAGTTGTACACTCCAATAAAACTGAAAAATGTGTTTGTCTTCTAATTATCCTCCATTCCTACTGAAACGAGTGTGTCTATGACCTAAAAGCAACCCTTACTGAGCCCCAGCTGAACACCCTGCCAGGGTTCTGACCCACATCACTCCCATCCCACACACCTCCAACATGCCTCACCACAGCCCTTCGGCACCAGGCGGGAGGGCCCTCCCGTGGCGCGGCCAGCCACGCCAGCTTCTGGAGCGGAGGAAGCCAGACAAACATGAAGCCCTCACAGAGCAGAACCATGGCAGCACGGTTTTGAGTAGAGCTGCAGGAGTAAGCTTACGTACCCAAAACCCGTCCTCCCAGGACCCCAACGGGAAGATGCCGTGCAGCGTAAAGAACTCCATACTCGCCCTAACTGGTCTGGCTCAGTAGATAGAGCGTCGGCCTGCCGACTGAAGGGTTTGATTCCGCTCAAGGGCATGTACCTTGGTTGCAGACACATCCCTAGTGGGGGGTGTGCAGGAGGCAGCTGATTGATGTCTCTCTCTCGTCGATGTTTCTAACTCTCTATCCCTCTTCCCTCCTCTCTGTAAAAAATAAAAATAAAAAAATTTTAAGATAAAGAAAAAGCTTCATACTCTCAGCACTCTGCCTGGCACCCAGGTCCCCAGAGGAGACTGTTACCCTGTTCCCCAGACTGAAGGTCACAGGACGCTGTGTTCTCTGCATCCTCCTGCCGTCTGCTCCCACACACCCCGGGAAGGCCAGGCCAATGCTTGCAGGGTTACCAAGCATGTGAAGACCCCGGAGCCCAAGGGCCCACCCAAAACGGTCCCCACAGCCGGGGGAGAGGAGAGCAGCAGCCTGAAGAGCTGCCCAGGAGGTGGAGGCGGAGGCGGAGGCGGAGGCGGAGGCAGTGGCTGGGAGGTGGGGAAGAGAAGGAAAGGAGCAAGCAGAGGCAGGAGGTCTCCAAAGAAGCTAGAGGCTTTGGCTGAGAGACAGCGGATGGACAGGCTCTCCTTGGATGATGGTGCCCTGGTCAGAGTTACTGATGTGGATTAAAAGCACAGGACTGAGTAATTACTGACTTTGAAACATGCAGATAGAATCAATGTTATTAACACAAACCAGCTGGTAACCATAACCAAAGACTAACGTCAAACTGCCACCTGAAGGCAGACAAGCCTGACCCTGAGTACAGCCTGCCCTCAGCCCGCAGACAGTGAACCTGTGGCAAGCCCAGCTGCCGAAGACCAAGAACAACCTGCAGGTAAAGGAGCAGCAACAGAGAGAACGTCAATCTACCATGCTATGCTGAGATTTTCAGAAAGCATTTAATAAAATGTCACAAAAAACACACACACACACACACACACAAAAAAAAAAAACACTAACTAATGATAGCGCCACAGAAATAAACCTTTTATAGCAAACAACATTTTAAGAAAGCTTTAAAATAGAAAGAATACAGGTTTCATGTGGTACATTTTAATCTAGTGAAATAAAAAGAAGACAAAAATGGAGAAAAGAGAGGCACAAAAGTAGGGGATAATAATATACAGGCAGACTCCGAATTCATAATCTCAGTGGTTTAAAACTTGGATTTAGATAAGACAAGCAGAATAACAACTAATTTTTAATGGTGATTTTTAAGTATTTCCATCAGTATTTTCATTCATCTAAGTGTAAAGGAATTATACCCTAAAGGTGAATGTATGCAAATCCTGTATGTTGGCAATTTCTATGAACCACTTCTTTTTATTGCTTTTTCAATGAGATTTTTAAAAACCTTAATATTCATAAAGAAATTTGAAAGAAAGAAAATAAAAAATAGAGTTTACTCAAAAAAAAT